GGCTTTGTAGTAAGACTTCACTTCCAATGATGTAAACCTCCACCTTTGTTCTTTTCAAAAACTGTCTTGACTATCCAACATCCTTTACATTTCCATACCAATTTTAGAATCAGCTTATTAACTACCACAGAAAAATCTAATGAGATTTTAAATGAGATTGTTAATGGCTAATCCCCAAACTTAATACATCTCTCCATTTATTTGGTTTTTTTTTGTTTGCTTTTTTTTTTGAGTTGGAGTCTCACTCTGTTGCCCAGACTGGAGTGCAGTGGCCGCTCCTGGACACCGCAGCCTCGACCTGCTGGGCTCTGGCGATCCTTCTGCCTCAGTCTTCCGAGTAGTTGGAACTACAGGCATGCGCTGCCACGCCTGGCTAATTTTTGATTTATTGTAGAGATGAGTCTTGCCAAGTTGCCCAGGCAGGTCTCGAACCCGCAGGCTCAGGCAATCCACTCACCTCAGCCTCCCAAGACGTGTGATTATAGGCTGAGCCACTGAGCCAAGCTTTATTTGGGTTTTTAACTTTTCTCAGCAATGGTACGCACTTTTCAGCTTAAAGGTCTTGCACAACTTTGTTAGAAATATTGCAAAGTAATTGAGCTTTTTCTTTGATGGTGTTATAAGCGGTATTTAATTAATTTTCAAATTGTTTATTATTAGTATATACAAATAAAATTGGTGTTTCTATATTGTCTAGTATCTAGAAACCTTAATAAATTCACTTATTAACTCTTGTAATTTGTACAATATTTGGGGTTTTTAATGCTTATGACCAAAGTATCTACACATAGTGTATTCTTGTTTTTCAATTGTTATAACTTTTCTTTCTTTTTTAAATTTTGCTTCACTGCACCGGTTAAGACTTCCAGTACTGTACTCATAAATATTAGTGGTGATTGCTGACAATCTTATTTTGCTTGTGACTTCAGTGGGAAAATGTTCAATATTTCATCACTGAGAATAATGTTAGCTTAAGGATGATTCCTTCTATTTCTCATTTGCTGAGACTTTAAAAAAATCATATATTGGTGTTGAATTTCTTTAGTCTTTTTCTATATCTATCGAGATGACCTTCTTCTCATATTCCTCCTGAATGTTAACATGGCAAAGTACATTAACTTTCAAACCCCTGCATTCCTAGGGCACCATTTATAATAATGTATAACCCTTTTAATATATCACTGATTTAGTTAAATAATATTTTTTAGCCTTATTTTATATTTTGCCTACATTCATGATGGAGCTTAGCCTATAATTTTCCTTTCTTGCAACATACTTATCAGATTTCGGTATCTAGGCATGTTGGATTTATAAAACAGGTTGGAAGCATTCTCACCTTATTAAAAAATTGTGCAAGAATGATATCACTTCTACTTTAAATATTTTAAGGTATTTACAAGCCACTTGTGCTTGAAGAGTTATTTGCAGAATGGTTTCTAATTATACATTAACTTTCTTTAGTAACTATAAAAATACTCATATTTATGACTTTATTGATTTTATTAATCTTTTCTGAATAACAATTTAATTTTGTTAATTTTCTCTATTGTATGTTTGCTTTCTATTATATTCATGTGTGCACTCATTTTATGATATTCCTTATATTCTGGGAGGGTTAATTTGCTGTTCTTTCTATGACTTCTTGAGTTGGAAGTTTACTTTGCTAAATCAAACTTTTTTTTCTTTTCTAACATGCATTTAAGCTATAAATTTCCCTCTAAGAGATGCCTTAACTGCGTTCTACAAATTTTTTTTCTCGATTTTTATTTTCATTCAGTTCAAAAGATTTTCTAGTGTCTACTATAATTCCTTATTTCACTTACATGTCTTATTTAGAAATATGTTGTTTAATTTTTAAACATTTGGAGATTTTAAAGTTATTATCCTGTTGTTAATTTGTAATTTAATTATAATGTCTTCATACTTTATGTCTGAGAATATGGTTGGTTTAGGTAAATATTTTATGTGTACCTAAAAAAAGATTTGAATTCTGCAGTTGTTGTATGTAATTTTCTTTATTTGTCAATTTGATGGATTTTGCTAATGTTGTTCAAACTTTCTATATTCTTGCTAAATTGCTGTCTATTTTATCAGTTATTGAGTGAGGTATGTTAAAATCTCCAATAATTAACAGATTTTATTTCTATCAATTTTGCTATTTAAATTTTGAAACTATTTTTAAGTGCATACAAGTAGGATTGTCACGCCTTTTTGTTGAATTACTCTTTTTGCTCATGAAATATACTTCTTTTTCTCTCATATTTCTTTGCATATCCTGAAAAGAAATATATTTTGTCTGATATTAATATAGTTATATCAGCTTCCTTTTGTTAGTGTTTGCATAGTACATTTTCTCCTTTTAATTCATTTGCTTCTTTATATTTAAAATATATCTCTTAGCAGGGCGCGGTGGCTCACGCTTAAATCCCAGCACTTTGGGAGGCGGAGGCAAGAGGATTGCCTGAGCCCCCAGGTTTGAGACCAACCCGGGCAACTTGGCAAGACCTAAATCAAAAAATCAAAAAATCAAAAAATTAGCCAGGCGTCATGGTGTGCCTGTTGTAGTTCCAGCTACTTGGAAGGCTGAAGTGGACAGATTGCCTAAACCCAGCAGGTTGAACCTGCAGTGGCTGTGAGTGTGCCACTACACTTTAGCCTGGAAGACAGTAAGACTCACTCAAAAAAAAAAAGTCTCTTGTAAACAGCAACAGCATATAGTGGGTCTCTTAATATCCAGTCTAACAATCTTTGTTTCATAGTATTAATGCCATATACATTTAATGCAATTACTGATATGGTTGGATTGAATTTCATAATGTTGCTATTTGTTGTCCATCTATTCGATTTGTTCTCTTTTTTTTCTCCATTTAACATTATATCACAGAATGTTCCAGGTTTCTACATTGACATTATGGATTTTGTTTTTAAGGGCTTTACCACAGCCCATTGTTTTGATGTTTCACAACTTACTGACCCATTAGCCATCATTTGGTTCTCTCAATAATTTTGCTATTATAGCTAATGTTGCACTATCTTATGTACATCACTTTCTCCTTTAGTTATTATTTCATTAGAGTATATTTTCAAGTGAAGAAGTACTAATTCAAGGGGTAGAACATTGTCACCTTGTTTTTTCTAAAACAAAGAAAAATTATTACAGTTCACAAGGTCATTAGCAGTATGTAGCTGTAGTGACTTCATTGCTGTCTTGCTAGCCCTGTGAGTTTATTTTTCCATTTAAAAAAAGTTGCACAGCAGAGAACTGAAGAGTTGCCAGTATTATCATTGTTATTATGACTGCCCTTGCTGTGTGTAAATAAACAGAAAAAGAGAAAGTTATTTATGAATGAGCTCATTTGAGCTACAAACTAGACTAAAATTCCAAATTGTTCTGCTTGTATTTTCATACACACTTGGGCTTTGGCAGTAACCCTCTGTGAATAACTCCTGATAAAAGAATGTATATTTATGACATAATATGTAAACTGGCATATACATTTTATTTGGGCCTAATATAACTATAATTCATAAATAAAACTAAAACAAACTTACAGAATGAGAGGGAATATAGAAAGAGAGAGGAGGCTCAGCTGAAAATATGCTTAAAAATGCAAGTTTCTAAGTTACATTTAAACCTTATCATGAATAATCTCAAAATAGAGTGGCTGCATCCCTAAACTTAATGAAAAAAATTCTTCCAGGTGTTGATAGTGTTGCTGATCAGTGGACAAAAATCTTAATATTATAATTACCTCATAGAGAATTTAAGCAGAGATTATCTCATTTGAGCACAACTACCCTGTAAGGCATATATTTCTAATTGTTTTGTAGAGAAATAAATTGTGATCCCTAGAGATGAAATTATTTACCTAAGGTCATAACTATTAATGAGCAGAACAATGACTCAAACTTCTATCTTCTGTTTCTTAAAACTGTAATCTTCCCACCATGTTTAAGGATCACTTTCAACAATGATTACAGTCTTGATCTACCACAGAGTTGTTTTAAAAGTTGATGAAGACAATCATATTGAAGATAATCTTTTTTCCAAAGAATTAAGTCAAGAGATATGTTATAGTATTTTCTAAACAAGCATGAAATTCAGGGTATTCTATCATCAAAACTGATAGCTCTATGATGTGGGAGTTCAGAGTCATATAAAAACACAAATAACAACAATGGCAGAACCTCAAATAATAGTATAGTAAATACATCTTCATAATCAGCATTCCTCAGTGTCTGAAAAATTAACAATTCAGTTTTTCAAATTTCACAAACAATACTGTGAAACTTCATTGTAGAAGTTGGAAATTAGAAACTGGCCTTTAAAAAACAAATCTATTGTTTGGCTAATTTTTCTCCTAGAACCTCAGCTCAAGTCTTTATTTAATTTATGGCAAATATTGACTAACCTACTACTAAAAGTACAAATATTTTAACATGTTACTATCAGAATAATAAATATGAACTGCTTTTTGGAAGACTTTTATGTACATAGATAATTCCTTAATTTATATCCTCATACTGTTTTAGAAAACAGTCATTTATTTATACCTTCAATCATTTTCAGTCATGTTACAAATTAAATGGATAAAGCAAGTTATATGAGTGTGAAACATCTCAGTTACAATTTTATCATCTTCCTCCAATACATTTATATTAACATTTTTTAAGTACCTTATGCCTAAATAAAATTAGTCTGGCTCAAAACATGAAGTATTTTATGAAAATCTGAGGTGACTCACGACTATACAGAAGCAAATAAGTGTTCTTCTTACTCCTCTGTCTAATATTTTAGTTCCCTATGCCAGGGTAATAAAAAGAGTCCTTTCTTTTTATTACATCAGCTGACAGCTGCAAGCAGTCAATTTGATTCACCCAGCTAAAACCAAATGTTTTCTCCCAACGGAGACCTTTCCATCTAAAGTGTGTGTTTTCTGAAAGACAATAATATGTTTATGTAAATAAGAAAAATACAGTGACTTTTGTTTACTCCCTAGGAGGTGTTTGGTTACCATACCCAGAATCTAAGGAAAGCCCTCTGTCTTCTCGTATCCCTGCTGACCTGCGGGGGCCTTCTGTTGGTGTTCTACTGGAGACCTCAATGGAGGGTGTGGGCCAACTGCATCCCATGCCCCTTGCAAGAAGCAGACACTGTTTTACTGAGGACAACAGTGCGTGCCCTTCTGTTACCTATTTCAAATGCTGTGATCCTGTCTTCTGTGTCACATCTGTGTCATATCCAATGACTGGCTAACATTAAAGAGGGTAGATTTCCTCTCTTTAGAGTTTCCCTAGACCAAAACAGGAAATGGTCTAATTATCTCTGCAATCCATTTGCTATCTCTTATTTTGACCCAAGGATGAAAGGCATTTTCTCCACTTCAGCCTGGGAAAATTTCTACCATGTCAGGCTAACTGGCAATGTTCTTAGTCATTACATGAGAAGTACCTGTCAGTATTATAAAGCTTAGAGAACATAACGTGGAAATGATCATTTATTTTTCTAGAAATATGTATTTTGGAGAATACTAGACATTTTAAACATCTAGATGTCATTTTAAACGAGCTAGAGACTATTTTCTGGATGCAAAGCTTTCCTGAAAAGTATATCATTCTCTTTATTTTCTAGCACAATGTTTGTCAAATTTTAGTGTAAATTAGAATCATTTGGAAACAGACGGGTGCCTCTACTCCCCCCCCCCCCCCCCCCCCACTCCCCAGAGTCTTTGATTAGCTAGGTCTGGGGTGGAGCTGAGAATTTGTATTTCTAGTAAATTCTATGATAATGCTAATACTCTTGTTTGGGACAAAGGTTTGTCCCAAACTTTGGAAACCACTGGTCTAGCTGGCACTTGATAGATATTTGATTGATTGAACACATTATTGAATAACACTTGAGAATTTCACAGGCTGGATTGTCTTTTCTAGGATGAATTTCAAAGATATATGAGGAAGAAGGTGTTCTGCCTCTACTTATCCACTCTGAAGTGTCCTGTAAGCAAAAACCCAAAAGAGCCCCTGGTGGTTGATCGCCACTCTGTCATAAACAAAGCTGTAATAAAGCCAGAATTAAAGGTAAGTTATTTAAAGAGTGCAGTGTTGTGGCATGCTTGCAGAAAAATAATAAAAACAAGTATTTATTGAATGAAAGTCCTGAATATCACACTGTTGGGCTGGGAATGATAGCTATTTATCAAAGAAAGTGAGACCTACATGGTAATCTGCATTGAACAGTGCCCCCCTCTCTTGATGGACTTTAATTGTGAATTACACCTGTTCTGTCACATTTTTAATTGTAGCTACGATGCATCCAAGTGCAGAAAATCAGGTATGTTTGGAACAACTTGGAGAAGCAGTTTCAGAAAGTTGGGTAAGTATGACTTAAGTATCATCACCACATCAGGAATACTGATTTGTTGAGTGCCATGAACTGAAGTATGGTTTCTGTCCTGACCACATCCTAGGTTGCTGGAAGACAGCAACTCCTGCTATGACATCCATCATACGTTTGGAATGGGTCTGACCAGTGAAGAGCAAGAGATCAGGTAGGATTTATGGTACTCTTTGAGTAAACACCCAGCAGAAAACGGAGTTTCAAATGAGTTATCAGTGCGTTGTTGACATAATGCTTCATCAACTTGATATAATCCCAGTTCATTCACTGGCATTAGAGATTCTCTAAATTGTTCTTTTCTTAGGCAAATTTATTTTTTAAAAAGACTAAAAGAACAATGCAATCAAATAAAAATTGATCTTTTCTCTCAGGCTTGTAGAACAGTCTTCTTTGTGCTGTATTTTTTATCCTTTCTCTCAGGCTTGTAGAACAGTCTTCTTTGTGTTGTATTTTTTATCCTTTCCTCAAAAAATTGAGTCAATTAATAAACATCAACTTTGTAATCCTCCAAACCCTCTCAGAGACAGAAAGACAATTTTATGATTGCATCTTACTATGAAGAAATAACCCTGAAGATGTGGATTTTGTTTTTTCAATTAGTTGTGTTATTCGCCACAGTATCGGTAGCCCCTAGAATAGTGTCTGATTCATGGTAGGAAATCAATAGGTATTTCTGTAGTAAATGAATAAATTAATGTATTCACTGATCTAGTACCTAAATGCCTCTACCATACCAAGTACTTTGTAAAGAACTAGGGATCTGAAGATAAAGACTTAGTCGTTATCTCAGAGACATTCACTGACTAGTGAGAAAGAGACACAAAAATAGTGGCACATCCATGAGGCTGTTACCTATAGATGCTTATAGATTAGGAAGTGCTTATGCTGCTTACTAACTCACAGAGATACAGAGTGTTTGCTTCCTGTAATTATTATTTGCAATGACGAATCCTGGTGAGTCCAAAAGGAAACCATGATGAGTCTTCCCTAGAATTTTAATACTCACCTTCATTTCTCATTCATTTTTAGAGGCACTGCCTGCCTACCCTTTGCAGTCAACCAGAAACAACAATTCTCAAGTTAAGAAGCAATCTGTTACTTAAAATATAGGTTTTGGCCTCCACTTTCATAATTCTGAAAATTCTGCAGAAACAAAGGGGTATTATGCATTTTTAGCAAGCAGCTCCCATAATTCTCACACACTAAATCTAAGATTTACTGATGTGTTGCTTTTAAGTTTTCCCTCTGCCAGAACACTGTGAAAAATGAACCAGACATTTGGTGTTGGACAATATTAAAAAAATGCCTTAGAAATGCTATAATTATGTAAGATTTCAGATGTAATGCTTAATACATTGAAATACAAAAGTTTCCAAAGGCATTAAAAAATATTGGTTTAATAGCACAAAGTACAAGACATTTAAAGGATTTACCTAGAACATTTAAGAAATCTAGTTGATGGATGTCAGTATGCTTTCCCTAAAAAAACCATTTCCACAAGGAAGATGTCTCGTCAGTTATAGCTAGCTACTTCATGCTTGTCCTTATTTATCAAGTGCCAAGCTTTAATAAACATCACACATAATTAAATTTAAATATTGTCCATGTAATAAAGAACTTGACAATCTAATAAGCAAGATAAAGTATAAAGTCTCTCAAATATGAAGAATAGAGGAGATAATCTAATTGTAAACATAGTCATATTTTATTTTATAGTCGTGTCCATTTGGATGCTGAAAAGAAAGTAAGTCGACATGTAATACTTTCCCTTCACTTTTCAGGTTAAGGCCATGGCCTTTTTTAGAACAAAAAATGTTATTTATTGGTTGAGTGATAGCTCATCAATTTCTAAATGGATTTGAGCTTGCTTGCATTAAAAAGTAAGGATGTAAAATGAGAAATAATGGAAGGAAGATATGCAAGAATCTCTGATGATGAAAACCTGCAGAGTCTAAATGCAAACTTTACTCTGGGCTTCCTAGCAGTCAGGTAAAGAGAGTAAATACATAGATTTACATACTTCTCACTTTTCAATAGTGAATACCTGTCAGGGTATCAGGAGAAACAATTACCCTGGAGAGAAGTTGTCAGAAGACACAGGAATAGAGCAAGTAAATTGTCCCAGAGGGTTTTATGTTCCTACCTTTAATCATCATGAACAGAACTTTCTATCTTAGTACCTATTCTAGACAGGCTGTGATTTAAACATGGTCCAGATGAGCCTTATAGAAGATCATCTACAGGAAAGAACTGATCCACTGGATCCCAGGTCTCATGGGATGTGAGCTCTTCTCTCCTAGTGGTAATTTCAGAAACCACCTCACTGAACAGCAAAAGCATCTGACCCCAGATTTGCTTTCTAAACTGGCTTTCCATAGCCGGTGCACTGCCTTAGTTGCGTGAACTGGGTTTTCAGCCTTGTCAGAGGAGAGATAATTCTAGATATGGATCACAAATATCCTCATTAATTAATTCTGATATTTAGGAAACATCCTCTGTGTCAGACACTGCTCCCGAGATGGCAGAAAAACAGAGTTTAAAAAGTTCCACTCTTGCCTTTAAAGAAGCTCTAAAAAAATATAGAAAAACATGTCAATATATGTTATAATTCAATGAGGTAAGTGCTGTACTAAGAAAGAATGAGTTGTTGGAGGAGAGAAAAATACAGTTATTTGTGCAGGAGGGGCTAAGACTTCAGATAGCTGTCATTTACTGAGCACTAAATGCTGTACATAGTTATGTCATATGCTACCGATCACAACATTATTAGGCATGTTTTAACAAATCCATTTTACCGATGAAAGAACCAAGTTTAACCCTTCATTCGGTCTTCCATTCAAATAATTATTGAGTATACTTTAGGTATTAAATCCTGTTTTAGGCATTTAGGACATATCAGAAGCTAATATTATTATGCAGGATATAGTCTATTATTTGCATGCTTATTAATAGGCTAAAAATAAAGTATAATTTTAGGTAATAATGTGCACTATGAAGAAACATAAGGTGAAAGAGATAGAAAACCTGGGTTGGGAGTTGAGGAAGCTATTTTAAATTGCATTTAAAAAACATTTATTATAAAGATGTGGGGTACATTTCAGGGTTAGGTATATAAACATTGATCATGTAGTTACCCTTGTTGATGAGGTATGCCCCCTTCCCCAGCAGTTTCCCTCAACTACCCATCCCATCCCCCCGCCCCGACTGTTTCCCTCTACTGCCAATCTCTTTCTTATAGCACTGTAATTGTTCAAGGTCAGTTTATGAGTGAGAACATATGGAACTCAGTTCTATGTTTCTGTGATAAATCACTGAGTATGATTGACTCCAACTCCTTCCAAGTTGCTGCAAAATCCATATATTTGTCCCTCCTTATGGCTGCATAATATTCCATTGTGTATATGTACCATTTCTTAATCCAGTCCAGCTTTGATGGGCAACACAGCTGGTTCCATGTTTTTCTATTGTGAATAGAGCTGCAACAAACACGTGTGCAGGTATCTTTTTTGTAGAATAATTTGAGTTCCTTCAGGTATATCCCCAATAGGGGAATTGCTGGGTCATATGGAAGGTCAATTTCTAGTTCTTTTCGAAATGGCCACACTGTCTTCCAAAGAGGTTGTACTAGTCTGCATTCCCACCAGCAGTGTAGAAGCATTCCTTTTTCTCCATCCTCGCCAACACCTGTTGTTGTGTGTGTTATTAATAGTGGTCATTCTTACTGGTGTTAGGTGGTATCGCAATGTGGTTTTGATTTGCATTTCTCTGATGATGAGTGAGGCTAAACACTTTTTCATATGTCTGTTTGCTGCCCGTATATCTTCTTTTGAGAAGTGTCTATTCATGTCTTTTGCCCACATTTTAAAGGGGATGTTTGTTTTTTTCCTTTCAGCGCATTTGAGTTCCTTATAGATCCTAGATGTTAGGCCTTTGTCAGATATACAGTTGGCAAATATGTAAATTGCATTGTTAAGGAAAGCCACAATAAGAGTTGTTATTTAGTGGTCTCACTCACATATAAGTGGTCTCACCAAGATATAACAGAAAGCTGAGCCCAGGTTTATCTGACTTCTAAATGAGGCCCTCCTACAAATTCTCTCCAATGCTACTTGCTGAGGCAGAGCTGTGTCGTCATACATCACAGTCTATGACTGGATCTGCCTCTTTCTAGCTCTGAGATGCTGGGAAAGGGACTTAGATTATCTGAACTGCAGCTTTCTTTACAGCAGATGACAATATGAAATCTCATAGGGATAATGTAATGATTAGAGGTATTAATGCACATAAGAGGCTAAACGCAGTTTCTGACGCTGTTATCTCTGCTTAGAAGTTATATTGTCATGATTAAGATTAGATTTGTGGCTGGGTTCGGTGGCTCAGCCTGTAATCCCGTGCCTTGGGAGGCTGAGGTGAGTGGATTGCCTGAGCCTGCGGGTTTGAGACCCGCCCAGGCAACTTGGCAAGACCTGATCTCTACAATAAATAAAAAAATCAGCCAGGCATGGTAGCGTGTGTCTGTAGTTCCAGCTACTTGGAAGGCTGAGGCGGAAGGATCGCCGGAGCCCAGCAGGTCGAGGCTGCTATGGCCGGGAGCGGCCACTGCACTCCAGTCTGGGCGACCGAGTGAGACTCCAACTCAAAAAAAAAAAAAAAAAAAGATTAGATTTGTGCACCTTTGGCTAAATGCCACACTGAATAATTTTTCTTGTTGGCAAAATGGGGATCCTTTCCTTTGGACTATTATGAGGATCAAATTAATATTTTGCAAGAACTTTGTAGATTATAAAATACTCTGCAAACATGAGGGCTGTTTACTGTATGTTGTACCACACAAGTATTACAACTTGGATATAATGTACACATTTACAAGGTGCTAGGCTAGAAAATCATATATCATCTTCCAGTTCATTCGATCATTCACTCATTCAGTACATCTACTGAGGGCCTGTCCTAGGTGCTGGAGGTACCAAGGTAAGAGAGATATAATCTCTAACATCAAGGACAGTCTAGAATCTTCATAGCTATGTCTTTTAAGCTATTCTTAAAATACAATCAAATTATGTTAAAAATAACTCAAAATACCGTTCTACATTCATTTTGACTTTTTGAGTTGTACTACAATACTTAATATATTTTTTTAACTGGGAAAACAACTTTGTCCAACATACACTGATTTTCATTTTAAAGCTATATTTGAGCTGGGTTCGGTGGCTCAGGCTGTAATTCCACGCCTTTGAGAGGCTGAGGTGAGTGAATTGCCTGAGCCCGCGTGTTAGAGACCCACCTGGGAGGTGAGACCTCATCTCTACAATAAATCAAAAAATCAGCCGGGCGTGGTAGCGCACGCCTGTAATTCCAGCTACTCGGAAGACTGAGGCGGAAGGATCGCCGGATGGGCGACAGATACGAGACTCCAACTCAAAAAAACCCCAGAAAACACTATATTTGTATTATAGTTCAGGGTTATGTTTCAAAAGTACTTGCACATTGTTTTTTAATGGAAGCCACAGAATCTCTAAAGAGTAGAGAAGTGACCTTCGCTTAGTAGGACCTGTGCTCTTGTATTACTGCGCTTATAGGTATGACACTAATACATGATCACTTTTCTGCAGAAGACTAGTGTGTGGGCCCAATGCCATTGAGGTGGAAATCCAACCCATATGGAAGCTGCTTGTTAAACAGGTAACTCCTGTCTTTTCTTTTTGGAAAAAAATAATTTCTACCCCTTACTTTTTACTTCCTGGTACTGGGGGAGTCTTAAGGAGCACATAAATTCTTTGATGTGAGTGAAATCTTGTGTCATGCAACTTCTTTTTGTTACTGCTTCCTTGATTTTAGTCTATATGTTTCCCCTCTACTGAGGTTCTCTTTTCTACAATTTTAATATATGTGTATTTTTTTCTGTGATTTTTAATGCATTCTTTTTTCTTAGAAGACATCGTATTTCTTTTAAAATTTTCTTTACTTTATTATAAAGATGTGGGGTACAAGTAAGGATTAGGTATACAGATGGTATGCTTGCAGGTGAAGTTTGGGTCTCCAACTGGTCCTCAGCTCCCCTGGTTTAGAATCAGGCACCCTACCCTTAGTGAAGTTATGCCTCCCCGCCCACCCCACCCCCACCATCCCCTGGCAGTGTCCTGCTACTGCCAATCCCTCTCTTGTAGTACTAATGAATGTTCAGGACCCGCTTATGAGTGAGAACATGTGGCATTCAATTCTCTGTTTCTGTGATAGATCACTCATCATGGTGAACTCTAAATCCATCCAAGTTATTTATTTTACATTTAAATCTACTTTAAAATTCCTTCCCAGGGTAAGGGACAGATTCCTGTTTCATAATGTTCTGTTTGTGTTTTGTTTTGTTTTCTTAAGTTTATCATGGTGGTGGTGGTAGTGATGATGATGGTGGTCGTGATAAGGTGGTTTGCTTAACTTGGGCTGTTATAACAAAATATAAACTGGGTGACTTAAATGACAAACATTTATTTTTCACAGTTTTAGAAGCTAGGAAGTCCATATCAAAGTGTCTGCGTACAGGGTCCCTGGAGAAAGCCTGTTTTCTGGCTTGAAGACCACCACCTTCTCTGTGTTCTCACATCTTAAAGAACGAGCTCTGGCTTCTTCTTACAAGAACACTAACTGCCCTCACGACCTCATTTAAACCTAATTACCTTCTAAAGGACCCACATGCAAATACCATCACACTGGGAGATGGTGTTAGAGTGTCAACATTTGAATTTACAGGTGGGGGGTTGAGAAGGGGAGGGAGAGGGAGTAGGGGAAGAACAACACAAAAATTCAGTCTATACCATGGGACATGATTTCTGAGGATTTGAAATGTACTATTTTGGTCTTTTTCAAATTGCTCTATTCCTTCCATTTTCTTGAAAGTGACTTCTCATTTTGTAAGTGTTTTGCTTTTATTTGTTTGGCAATATTTTCCTTGTGTAATTGAAGGTATTATCTGTTTTGTATGCTTCTCTTAAGAGAGACATTTTTCCTTTCCATTTTTTTCTTTTTCCCCCATGCTTTCTGTTCCTCTTTGTTGGCTCTGTGTTTGCCTCAACTGGTCCCCATAGGGTCCCCAGTTCAGAATCAGGCCTATGCTGGAGGTTTTGGTGCTTGTCCCTTGGGGACTTGTCAGATTCAGACCCTGAACCAACTTGAAGAGTGTCCCAGTTCACAGTTGTACCACTGAATCCCATCTTACCCTTGGCTGGTGTTCCAACACTAGTTGTAACTTTTCTCAGCCTCTATTCTGGGACAGGAAGCCCAATGCCACCTCTACTTTCTGCCATAGCATAGTTTCTCTCCCCTGTCATTGTGGGGTACTTTCTGTTTCTATTCTTTCCAGAAATGAACTCCTAGTTTTTGCTGTTCTTGTCCTTGTCTGGAATTCACTAGGCTGATGGTATCAGTTCCCACTCGATGTTACAGGTTTCTAGTCTATTTCAAAGTCATATAGATGATTATTTTATTTTTGAGCATGACCATATCTTTTTAATATTAAGAACATTTTAAAGACTGGGTGTGGTTACTTAAGATGCCTGTAATCCCAGCCAGGGGATGCCAAGGTGGGAGGATTGCTTGAGGTCAGGATTTCAAGACCACCCTGGGCGACATAGAGTGATCTCATCTCTAAAAATTAGCTGGGCATGGTGGGGCACACCTGTGGTCCTAGCTACTCAGGAGGCTAAGGCAGGAAAATTGCTGGAGTCCAGGAGGTCAAGGCTGCAGTGAGCTGTGATTACACTACCACTACACTTCAGCCTGGGCAACAGAATAAGACCCTGTCTTAAAAAAAAAATTACCACTGTTCTGTGTTAAGATGTTAAAAAAAGACTGCTTTTTAAAACTTTATTTCTTAGAGTAGTTTTAAGTCCACAGAAAAATTGAGATTTGGTGCAGAGATTTTCCATATACCCCCTTTTCCCCTGCTTATGCATAGTCTCCCCAGTTATCAAAAAGCAGGCCGCTTATTAAATTTCTTGTTCAAGAATATTTTCAAATTTCCAAAGACTCTCAAAGTGTCAATTTGATCTATCTTGGAAAGAGTGCTGGTATTTTCTGGCACCTAGTATTTACTAGGGCTTTAGTAGGAAAAAAGCAAAACTACTTCGTATTTGGTTTCAAAAGAATATTGCCTAAGGGTGCTAAATGAATTAGTATTTAACCAATTTTCTACTGGGTTTATATGAGCCCCAAATCATATTATCATTCATGTATAATCTATAATTCAAGCATTTTATAATATGCAACTAAAAAGCTATAATTTCTAAGTAAAACAATTGGGATGGAAAAAATAAGAAACATTAAAGAACAAAATCTTTTTTAATGCACAAAATATATCTAAAGGTTTAAAAAATTCTTAAGATACTAACTTATTAACCAGATGTCAGTTCATTCTTAGGACTAAAATAAAATTGTATTTAATATCTTAGGAAATTATAGCAAAGAGAGGTAAGAAATAGTATCAGTAGTTTTAGCCACTATTTAATCTAATTAAAAGAATCATAAAGGGCACTTCCTCAAGAAAAGAATCCTTGCTTTGCTTCCATGGGCTCTTTAATTCACATTCTGCAAACACATCTTGGAACTGCTTACTAGCTTCTCAGGTTTGCCCTCTCTGCTATGGTTATTAATAGTGGAGTCAGCAGGACCAAAATGAGGAAAACAAAGGGGATAAAAAAGGTTGAAGGTATTCTCAAGAGACCGAAAATGTACACGTACAGATGACCAGCTTTGGGACTGGTGATAACTTCCGTCCATGATTTGCCCTGTAGCCTTGGGGAAGACATTTCTCTCCAGTATTCCTCCTCATCCAGTGGAAGGGCCATCCATGTTGACTTGACTGACTCTCAGAGGCCATAAAAAATATGTTATTTTTAAATAACCTAGATAAAAGTAGAATCTTTCATTTTCATTGCACACCTTTACTAAATCTGTAGCATATGATTACATGTAAAATAAAACTGTTCAAAATTGAAGTTCATTTTCTTTTTTTTAAATTATTTTATTTTATTTTTTATTTTTTTGAGTTGGAGTCTCACTCTGTTACCCAGACTGGAGGGCAGTGGCACGCTCCCGGCCACCGCAGCCTCAACCTGCTGGGCTCCGGCGATCCTTCCGTCTCAGCCCTTCAAGAGCTGGAACTACAGGCATGTGCTACCATGTCCGGCTAATTTTTTTTAAATTATTGTAGAGATGAGGTCTCGCCAAGTTGCTCAGGTGGGTCTCGAACTCTCAGGCTCAGGCAATCCACTCACCTCAGCCTCCCAAAGGCACGGGATTACAGGCTGAGCCACCGAGCCCAGCTTGAAGTTCATTTTGAAAAGAGACTTCATGTATCTTCATTATGGGTAAATCTGTTTAAGAAGGTAAATTGTCAGATTTGCTATTGGTAAAATATTTCTGAAATTCAAAATAAATATGAATGATCAGTTTGTGGGCATGGCTCTGAGTGCTTAAAATAATTTTGTTTTCGCCATATTACATTCTATGTGCTTGACATTGTCTCTACTCAAATTAATGGCATTCCAAGTGAGCTCTTAAATATTAGAGGTTGTGTATATTGTGAAAAAAATGGGGAAAAAATGTATAACAAAATGATATCTTGACTGCCACTAAGGTCCACTCAAGTGACACAAATGCTATTTTTGTATCTATAGGTTTTAAATCCATTCTATGTGTTCCAAGTCTTCACCCTAACGTTGTGGCTGTCTCAAGGTTACATAGAATACTCTGTGGCCATCATCATTTTGTCTGTTATCTCCATTGTCTTAAGTGTGTATGATTTGCGACAGGTAAGAGCCAAAATCACAGATGGATTCTATTTAACTTCTAGTACAGAAACAAAGTCTATGGAATTCCCATGAGAGCAAGAGTTGCTTTGTCAAAGCTAAGTCATAACAAAGCAAAAAGCAAGGGCTTACCAGATGCAGAATCTCAGAAGGAGGGTTTCAGGAATACAAAGTAAGCTTAAATGTCTTTGCAAATTCTGATTATCTACTGAAGGCTTCATTGCATGCTGTCTTTAGAAGGACTCTGAGGCTGTTTCTGAGTATGGTGGAAAAGAATGTTGTGATGGATTAATAATGCCAGCCGCAGTTTTAGGAGAATAGAGGGGTAGCATCTCAATTATATGTATTAGTCAAGACATTATACCCCTTAGAATGTTCCCACATATTTCCCCTGACTTAAATATTGTATTTGTTTTATACATTACCTATCTAAATGTTCTTGACAGATTTTAGTTTTTCTCTTAAAATTCCTTTATAATGTGAATATCTTCATTTGGCATTCAGGTAACCTTTCTTTATGAAATCCAAAAGAAATACAGAAATTCCTATATGGAAGTTAGAAGAAAGGTTGGAAAAAAAATTAGTTTGATTCTATACTCATTAGGGCAACGTTCCAACAAGATAATTACCTGAGATTTCTGACCTGTTGAGCTATTAAATAAAAATATCCAGCATAATAACAGGAATCTACGTTTTTTACAGTTTCATAAATGGTGATTGTTATGCATTCTAAAGACTTGAGAGCTATTGTTACAGAGGAATCCACCTAAGAATAAATTTAAACACCATATCCCAAATACATGTATTTATTAATGTCATTGTCAGCCACACATATTTTGTACTCTTTTTACTCTATTAGGTGCACACGTATATATACAAGTTTATATGGAGATTTGTGTATTTATTAATTTTAAAAATTAAAATAGGATCTGACTATGCACATTACTCTGAAGCTTTCATTTTTCTCTTTACTATATATACAGTAGCAATCCACCAAGTACAAATACTATAAATCATGCTTTAAAATGTCATAATATTCTATGGTCTATCATAATTTATTCACCCATTCTGTTATTTTTGGAAAGTGAGGTTATTTTCCCTCAACTTTTGCTACCACAAACAATGTTGAATTAAATATAATCACAGTCACTCCAGTCTGGGCAACAGAGTAAGACTCCAACTCACAAAAAATAAATAAATAAATAAATAACCACAGTAAGGGCATGTTTTTACATATTAGTGTTTGCATTTTTTTTTAAGCATGGCAACCAAAAGCCAGTTCACTGAATCAAAGCAAATGTTTATTTTGAATTTAAATAGGTGCTGCCATATTATTTTCCACAAATGAGATAATTTCTTTCATTAGAAATATGCAAAAGTATCCATTTCCTCAGTTTCACCAGCAACTGGTATTATATATTGATATTTACAATTTTTTAATCTAATGCTTTTTTTAAACTGGGGGTCTCATTGATGTTTTGATTCATATTTCCCTGATTACTGGTGAAAGTAGACATATGTTCCTTTGTCTAATAGAGTTTTGCATTTTTATTTTATGTTAATGGCCTTTTTAGATCTAGCATATATGTGAAAAAGTTTTATTTTTAGTCTATCTTTTTTCTCTTGACCTTCACTTTTGCTGTACATTAAAAATTATGTAGAGTCAAATATGTTTCTTTTTTCCTTTATGGTTTCTGGGTTTCCTGTTTTGCTTATAATGGTCTCCTTTTCCAAAGTTAGGTAATATCTATTTTTTTCTATTTGTAATTTGCTTAATAACTATTTTTTAAATCTTTAATGAATTTTAAGCATTTAGGTTCTGCATCTTAACAGAATTCCTAAATTCCTTTCATCCAAACAGTGGCTAACATAGGAACTTCAGGCTTAATGGCAGTAATGCAAAGGATTTTTTTCAAAAGAAGAAAAGGCATTAGAGGACAAACACTGATCTCATTAGCAGCCAATATTTATTAATAAAAGTGTATCTGACCCAACCTGTAAAGCAACTTGTAACATATATAAAGTAAACCAATTTCCTGAAACTGTCTTTGTCATTTAAATTACAAGTCCTCAACGATCAATATTTGTTTAGCACTTTAGAGTTTGCAATAGCCCCCCACATCCATAACGTATGTGTTTATGTGGGGCATGGCAAATTGTAAAATGAAGCACATATTGTTTTTATATTCTCTACCACCTGACAGGGAGGGCTGGGGTCATAAGGGAGGTGAAGGGACTTGTTCATATTCACCCAGTGACAGTGGCCACAGACCCTGCCCTAGGTTTTCTGATTTCAAGCCAAGTACTACACACTGTCCATTGAACACAATCTCAAAGTGACTCATGAACTTCCTTGCTGCAGTAGCATTTGAGGAAGGGGGTTGACAAGAATGAAAAGAGTAGCAATGCCATCTCCAAATCATTCTATTGAGCTACATTGTTTCACTGAATTCAAGACTTGCTAAATAAACACAGGTTTCTGAAAGTTGTAAGACAGGAAGTGTTAGCAGGAGTGATATAAGATACCTGTCTGCATCTGCTCTGGCCACGAATCATGCTGCACAGGCAGAGCTTACTTTCCCTAAGCCAGGAAACACTACTGTTGCAGTCCTTTTCTAACAAGCTTGGTGCAGGTATGAGTGCAAACCTTGGCAGTCAACTGTATTTACACTGAACTGTATTTGCATATTCTATTGCTGGGCTCCATGGGTGGCTGCTAGAAATAACACGGAGAGTATCTAGCCCGTAGTGCTTTGCCTTTAGTTGTGCCTGAGCCGGGCTCAAGAGGCACCTGAGTTAATGCCCTCATTACTCATCTCTGGAGGAAATTCAACTACAGCAAACACAAGGACAGGCAGCAACAAATGCCGAATAATAACAATATGCAAATTAGTCTTGGAAACTGATCCTGGTCCCACAGAACAGGGACTGAAGAAACCAGAGGGGGCCTCATGAAAATCAGGCAACGAGCTTTGCAATCATGGCAAGCACTGCAGCACTTGCCTTTTCCTAGCTAGTTGGTTGTCATAGAAACCTGTGTTTGTGGATTTCCTGAGTACATTAACTCAAAGAGGATGCTAACATTATCCCACTCCAGTGTTGTTAGAAGTAGAATAATTCGGTTCTAATAAACACATATTTGATGAGGGCCTACTATGTGATAAACTCTGGGGGGCACATGCAAGAATAATATACATAGTCCCTTTCTTTTGTGAACTGCCTGAGTCACAGGGGAGACCTGACATGACAATAGATATCCATGCAGTAATGGAATGTGATCACTTCACTAACCCAGGTGGAGAAAACAGAACAATGAATTCTTCCCGGGGATTGTAGGGACATGTGGAGTGAAGGTGACATTTGAGCAGGCCTCTATGTGAAGGATTAGAAAGAGTTTGCTTGTAGAAAACTGGAATGGACATTCTAGGATCGCTTGTGCACAGGCATGAAAGTGTGGATGGTGACACAGAATGCTAAGACTAATAAACACATCCAGCTCTACAACATAATGAATTTTGAGAATTATAGTGAAGTATTATTAACTCATATTTCACCGCTTCCAAATGTGTTGATTATCACCCTCTTGTGCTAGGCTGAAGTTATCATGGTATTGACTAAAAGAGTTTGCTAAGCAAGAACATAACTTAAAAACATTTAGAAGAAGGATGTTTATCTTCTTGAAGGAGAACAAGTTGTTTTTGAGCACTAGAAGAGCACATTCATCAACAGAAAAGGCTTTAGAGTCAGATGAATTTGAGTTTGAATGTCACTCTTAATACTTAGTAAATAAATTATTGTGAGAAATTTACTTTATCATTTTCAACCCCCCCTTTTATATATGAATGTAGGAGATGACATTTTCATCATAGAATTATTTGAGGATAAAAAAAAAAATCAAACACTCTATTCTAAGCGCCTACAACAGTGTCTGGCACATAGCAGCTATTTAATGTTTTAAACTATTTTAAATTAATAATAATTCGAGCCATTCATGTACCTTGTATATTTCTTCTATGAAGCCTCACAAGTTTTGGATAAATCTCTGACGTGCAAAATAAATCAGTATCCTATCATTTTAGTGCTTGAAGGGAACTTGAAAGTTATCTGATTTACTACCATCTGTTTACAGAGGAAACAACTTAACTTGTGAGGTGAAATTTCTTATGCATATACATTGCACAGTTGATCAACGGGTAAACCTGACTTATAGCTCAGGAATCCCAACTGACTCCTGTGTTCTTGCCTACAGAACCATAGCTGAGGTTCCTACTGTTATCCGTCATTCAAATGCATGCCCCAACAGTAACGCTCAGGAAGTCACGTTAGAGCAATAAATAGGTACTAAACAGCACTATCGCTTCTTCCAATCAATTGGTCCAAATTATTGAAGTTTAGCTTTTCACACAAAACTGAAGTAGATAATAAATTTTCCATATAAATATTAACATTGAATTTATTATGTTCTGTCAAGGGGAAAGTTGCATAATTGTATGTAATGCTTATCTTAGCCTAGTGATATTTGAACATTAAAAATCATCAACAGAGCTGCGCTCGGTGGCTCAGCCTGTAATCCCGCGCCTTTGGGAGGCTGAGGTGAGTGGATTGCCTGAGCCTGGGGGTTCGAGACCCGCCTGGGCAGCGAGACCTCATCTCTACAACAAATCAAAAAATCAGCCGGGCGTGGTAGCACATGCCTGTAATTCCCGCTATTCGGAAGGCTGAGGCGGAAGGATTGCCGGAGCCCAGCAGGCGAGGCTGCGGTGGCCAGGAGCGGCCACTGCACTCCAGTCTGGGTGACTGAGTGAGACTCCAACTCAAAAAAAAATCATCAACAGAACAGATCAAAATAATTTAATATCTAAAAGGAAAAAAGTTTTATATTTGAATTATGTTAAGCTGAATTAAGTACTGTTGATGGTATTTAAACCCTCTTCTAATTAGCCACATCCAAGTAATTCACATACATACAGAGAGGAGGTGCCTTGCAGAGTTGCCCAGCCCTGCCCCAAGTGGCCCAACATAAGCTTTCTCTGGCTAATGGCACCCCGGAGTGAGGATGGAGAACTGGGTAGACAGAATCCCCTTTCACCTCTGACTTCCTGTCCCTTGCCCTATCCTAGGAGTTGCTGCCTCCACTTCTCCAGGCTCCTTCCATTTCCTCTGCTTTTCACGGAGTCCTACCTCAGTAAATTCTACCTCTAGCAAGTCTTTCCAATTAATGTACTCTCACAACTGGTTTTCCAACAACTTTATTATTAATCACTAACAAGAATTAACTAACTTAAAACCTAACCCTAGAAAGTAGAATCTATTATAATCTCCACTTTCAGATGAGCAAAAGGGAGTTAAACAGGCTAAGTAGCTCATAAGTGGTAGTGTCAGGATTCAAAACTGAGCAGTGGGACTACTTTCTGCAGATTTTACTCAATGTGAAAATCCACAGTTCAGAAAGGAGAGAATGGCTGTTCTACATGCAATCAGAACACAACCTAAATATTCATAGGCTCTTACAAGCGCAAAGCCACTTGCAGATCAAGAGTTTTGCTGTTTTACAGACCAGGAAATAGGGGCATAGAGAGGGAAGGAACCTGGTCACAATCTTGTTCTTCCTTCTTCTGATTGTGTATCTTCAAGAAATGAAACCTTGCTTCCTTGGCTTAGGTCCTTGAGGCAGGGGCTGTGCATTATTTTCCTTGGGAGTGATATAGCATTAAACTAATAAGCATATTTGCTGGTGCAGGTAGGGTGTTGGGTGAGGTAGGGGTTGGGGTAGGGAAGCTGAAGCATCAAAAGTGGAAGTAGTCCCTTGCCCAGAGTCACTTTGGCTATGACAGCTGGCTTGGCATTTATTGTATTGAGATCATGTGGTTTTGGGGATGTAAACTATTTAATATTTAAATGTTGACTTTTCATTGATAGCAATCAGTTAAGCTGCACAACCTTGTGGAGGATCACAACAAAGTCCAGGTTACAATCATCATAAAAGGCAAAGGTAGGTGATGTGTTAGTTCAACCTCAGCATCTTAATATTTCAGGGTGAAATTGGTCTCATTTGTCTTTGATTATTAGACAAAGAGAAAAAGGCTTTTCTGATTGAACCTAGGCAAACAAGTCATCTGGAAAATTTAAGGAGGCAAGAGAGTGCACATGCAGACCTAGCACCTGCAGGGCCCTGAGAGTGAAAGCCTCATTACATTCTGCACTCTGAGCACTCACTTTCCTAACCTCACCTCAGCCCTGATTGAATCATTCCTACCCTATCCAGGTTACTACAAATTCCTCTGCCCTCTACATTTCACTAGTTTGGATAATACAAGGTAAACCTTCTTAAGGTTCCTTTATTTCCCCAACCAACCATCCCAGACAGACTCTTCATCATACATTTTGAACTGCCATCTGGTATCTAGGCCTGAATGGAGCTTTTAAATGACTGGCTGGACACTTGGCATTTGCTCTGAGATAGCCTGGGGTAGAGTGGCATGGCTCTCTTCAAAGAGTGAGGAGCTGCACCCCAAGGCAGCAGAAGCTAACTGGACAAATTTACTTCAGGACCCAATCCAAGAAGATAAAATGTGTTACAGGGGATCAGAAACCCAGTCAAAGAGAGCAAACAGCAGAGAAGGGGCATTTCTGAATTACTCAATACCCTTGAGCATTTACTGACAGCAGAATACTACACGAGCTACTAGAATTAAGATAGGATCTTGTTGTATAGATCATCCTTTGCTATGTCCCAGGAACCAAATCCTTAATCCTTATTCTTTTGGAATTTTCAATTGAGTGGAAAGGGGCTTAAGCAGTTGAATAGGTAGGGTAGCTTTTGACTAAGAGGTTGATAAGGGTTCTTAGTCATTTTCATTGTTAAGTAAAAAGAAATAATCAGCTGGTCATGGAAACTTTGCTTTGGTGTAGGTTTGGAGGAACTGGAATCCCGTCTCTTGGTTCCCGGGGATGTACTTATTCTTCCAGGAAAATGTTCATTACCATGCGATGCTGTTGTGCTGGATGGGAACTGTGTGGTGAATGAAGGCATGCTCACAGGTAGGCAGTGTTATGGAGCTTCCACTTCTTTGTCCGACATCTAGGCCAAGTGTCATCTAATCAAATCAGCATATCCTTACCTACCTTATTATAGCAGGTCCATTTTAAGATACTCAGAAATAGATGAGGGAGACACATACAGCTTTTTCTTCAAATGAAGACACAATATACCAAACAGAAAATGTTTAGTCGTATAAGAATTAAGCCACAATAAACATGAAACTAGAATACATTTCTAATGCCACATGGGATTAATTACCCAATGGATGGGGGGGAATAGGGTGCTTTGGGTTCAGAAGAGGGTAAGCATACTATGTGGATTGAAACACGATCTCTTCATAAATACAAAAATAATTTATATACATAGCCAAATGAACCATAACCTTGAAAACCACAACTTCCATAATTAGAAGGGCATGGAGATTTTATCCAGCCCTGTGGTCTATAGATGGAAAACTAATGGGACCCAGGTTTTACTAGAAAGGAGTTTGAATTGAATCTTAGGGTGAAGACCAATGTAACAGCTATATTCTGTGGATTTTCATTTTCTGTTGATATCAGAGCAGAAAACTAGTCTTCCAGTCACATTGCACATGGTCCTATTTCTCATTTGTAATGTCTACTTGAAATTGTGTAATTAGTAAGGCACTATTTATAAAATATTTTTCAGGCCAAAAATAAAAATACACAGCACATTGTAATGAGAGAAGAATAGACTATACAGCAACACAAAAATAGGAACTATTTGTCTTTCATGCTTACAAATTGTTGAACTTTTCTGTTTCCAAATGGTGTGAAGATGGGGGGAAAAAGCACACACATGATTTTTGAACATCACATAAATGTAATAAAAGTTCATTATCTATTCCTAAATTGTTCAACATGAGCAGATTTTACATTAAAAATGGGTCTGCTTAATTTAAAATTGAGACAAAAGATGTAGTAAACATAAATATGTTCAGTATAATTATAAAATACTTCTTTAATATGTTGAAATCCAACTGCTTTATAATGATAGTGATGAGGATTTGCACACTGATCATATCTTTTACTCAGAATGTTACCATAGTACCCAACATGTAAACCTCCAGCCCAAAAAAACCATCTTTTTTTTTTTTTTTGAGTTGGAGTCTCACTCTCGCCCAGACGGGAGTGCAGTGGCACACTCCCTCAGCCTTCCAAGTAGCTGAAACTACAGGCGCGTGCTACCATGCCCTGCTAATGTGGCTCAGCCTGTAATCCCAGCGCTTTGGGAGGCAGAGATGAGTGGATTGCCTGCCTTTCTCACTCAAATGCAGCCACTGCCTCCCGTCTCCCAGCAGTTTAACAGCAAAGAATGGCTTCTCTCACTGGCAAAAGAGGGGGCACGGTTGTGAACACACAGGGAGAGGAAAGACAGAAAGGCTTACTGCCCTCGGGCTGCTGTCTCTTCTCTCATTGACTCGGGTGGACAGTATTTGCCTTCATTCTCAGGAAAAGTCAGAGAGTTCTAGAGAAGTAGAGCTGCTAAAACAATGTTGCCTTTCAACAACTGTGCAAAATTGACCTAAAATGAACTTAACTGGGATGTGGCTTTTTCTAGCATCTGTTTGGAAATATTAATAAAGTCATCATCATGTCTGTGTAACTCAAGTACTGATAAAATCCAATTTTACAGATAGACACTTACAATGGGGAAAAAATAAATATATGTCTTTCTCATTAACTTCTTCAAAAAGATCTAAGTTCTAGTATGATCTAAATACCTCATTGCACAACCCACCTAGATCCTCCTACACATTACATATTTGTGGAAAGGATTCTGATTAAACAATCAGATTCTTGAAACTGTAAATGTATTCCTAGAGTATTTGTCCACAAATGTGACTTAGATTTATTCCTCATGTACAAAATAGCCTTTTGCATATATAGAAGTTTCTATGTGAGAATAAAAATAGCAAATAGTCCTTGCATCTCTATAGCAACTTACATTTTATAAATAACTTTCACATCTCTCTTTCATCATGGCATAACACAGATGAAACTAAGAGCTGTTATGATACCAATTTACAAATGAGGAGGCTAAGGTGACAAGACACCAGGGCTGTTCAGCTAGCAAGTGAAAGGGTCAAAGTTGAAGGTAGTACTTGCTCCCAAACACAAAGGACCATGGGAGTGAGGAAGTTAGTTCTAAGGTGGGTAAGGTGCCTATCTTCATTTTTCTGCCTCACCATCTTTTTCTCTTTACCTGGAGTTCCCATCCACAGCTCCCACCACTTGGTAACATCCTTTTTCTCCTCTCCTCAGCCTCATCCTGCTGCCACTAACACAGTTGTACAAGCAGCTTGTCTTTATTTTATAACGACACTGAGTCTCTACTTTGGCTCTAATTTTTGCCATCCTTGAAAATGTCCAGCGTGAATATCTGGTATAAGGCAGACAGTCATCCCATCCATTAGCAGGTCCTCCCACCCCTCTCTGGCTACTGGAATTGTGCGTGACATCAGGGAGGGGGCCCTGATCTGGGACAGCTCCTCTTCCTGTTGCTTCCATTCCACTCTGGGTGAAGCCCATCATCCTAGGCAGCAAGGCAGATCCTGGTGCCGCTTGCTCTCGGTTTCCACAGCTTTGTTGCATGTTCCCATTCTCTGCTGTTGAGCAGGCTGCTTCTCTCAGGGGCAGACAATATCCAAGTCCCTTTGGATTCTCTTCCAACTCCCATTCCAAGAACTTTTATTTAGTTTACAATGCAGTAGAGGGAATTCATGGTGAACAGAAAAACTTTGTTTTTATCTCAGGTTGTCTCTAAGATCCATCATCAAATTCATGAAGGACTGTTAAAACTCAAAAGCCAGTTGTCCACCCCGTCTTCTTTTTTTCTGACTCCTTTCCTGAAACCTTGATCCCCTTTAAGATGTAGCTTCTCCCAAAATGGAGGAGTCAAGAAGCAAAAGGGAATACCATTGGGAGGGATCTATTAATATTTACAAATCTTCCGTTGGCACAATAGCTACTTTGTCTTAGTTCTCATATGTATTAGGACTGTATTGACATTTTACATATTTTATTTCATTCAATTTGCAGCTTTATTAAGCTGGATGAATCTGAGACCCAGGAAGGGCAAGTAACTTGCCTAAAGCTTAAAAGTGGTATAGCTCAGATTTGAATTTGTTAGTTTATTCATTCATTCCATAGATGCTTATTAACTCCTACAGTGGAGCAGGCAGTCTATTGGTGATATAGCAGTGGACAAGGCAGATAAGATTTCTGCCTTTGTGGAGCTGACATTCTAGTGAAAGAGACAGAAAACATAGGAAATATATAAATGACATAAATTTCCTACGATGATAAGTTCTATGAAGAAAAAAAGACTTAAATCCAGGCATTTTGTCCCCAGAGCGTATGCTTGGAACCAGTGCTTTCTCACTTTCTTAGGGATGATTGTTGGGGAGAAGGGCACTCTGCCATAATCCCCTTCCTTCTCCCTCATTAAATTACTAATTTATTTGAAACACGTGTGGGAAGTATGCAGTGCACTGAGCTGGACATGTAGGGATTCCCCTACGTGGTTATTCACATTGATATCTTTTCAGACAAGTGTACAATCGGTTCATAGTTCAGATCTTTTCCTCTCTTTCATTTTCTTTCCTTTGTCTTTTTTGCTCATCCTCCTTCTCCCTTTCTTTCTCTTATTCATTCGTTTATCCATTTATTCAATAAAAGTTCAGAAATGACTACTGTGTGCCAAGCATTGTGTTGTGTACTGGAATCACCAAGAACAGTCCTTGCTCTCAAATCATTTATAGTCTAATGATCCCAGAAATGTACATTAAAAAGGACATGTCATTTCAAACACTGTCACCATGAGGAAGCATCTGGCTCCTTGGGGACACAGGAGGGAACCTCTACATGACAGCACAGGGATCCAACTGTGCAATTAATTATAAGTGAAAATAGTGCTTCCTTCTAAAACCCTCTCCAGTCTCCTGAGACCCCAAATCTTTTGTAGGTAAAACCATCCTTTCTTGGGCTCCCAACAAAGAACAAGACATGAGACTTCTTATTAATATGTGAATAGTATAAAGGAGATTTGAAAACCATCCCTGTGTAGAATCATCTGGTTTGAGTGCTATCTCTGGAACAAATTATCTCCAAATGACTTCCATCTCTGACTGATCAATATTTGTATGCCCCCAATTTCATTGGTTGTGTGCGTGGAAAACTGTTTACTAATATTAGTCTAAGCATACATTGTGGATAAATATTCTGTGATCCAAAGGCAAAAAAAAAAATTGAAATTATCTGTATCTGCCTGTTACAAAGGTTGATTTCAAAACAATGTGGTACAATGATTTGGAGATTTGTCAAAGGGTTCTAACCCTTTTACAGTGTCATTTACAATGCAATCAATAATTCCATACACTGGATAAATACCATAATTACTCTAAAGAAAATGGCACAGGGCCAACTGCTTGGCTAAAGGAATTTACTAAAGAATATTCAAGACCTTTAATAAAATTTGCTTAGCTTCTTGCATCTTAGGATGTAAAAAAAAAAAAAAAAGAAAAAAACATCATGGAAGAAAACTCATTTTGAAAAACCAATCGTAGAAAAACTTGAGTGATTGTTTTTATGTAATTCATCTATACATTCAACAAAACTATCTATCTATCTATCTATTTTTTTTTTCTGAGTCAGAGTCTCACTCTGTCATGCAGGCTGGAGGGCAGTGTAATGATCACTGCTCACTGCAGCCTTGACCTCCTGGATTTTGATGATCTTTCCACTTCAGCCTCCCAAATAGCTGGAAATACAGGTGTACACCACCACACCTGGATAATTTTTTGATATTTTTGTAGAGATGAGGTCTTGCTATGTTGCCTAGGCTGGTCTCAAACTCCTGAGCTCAAGCAATCCTCTTGCCTTGGCCTCTCAGAGTGCTAGGATTGCACCCTGAAAAACTATGTATTTTGAACCTATTACATATCAATAGAGAAAATGAAAGGTATAAAAAGTTATATATGTAAAAAAATTCTTGTTCTCAGTTATTACCTAGAAAGATGAGACCTAAGCTTGTATAATTATGATCAATACAATACTATTTCCAAATTAGAAAGATGATATGCTATCTTGCTAATTAGATATTTAGTAAAAGACTGATGGAATTTTAAATTCATTCTAGTGCTCTTTAAATCTGGGAGCCAGAAAGTATTAATAACATCTTTATTTTGTCTTTGAAATTTATCTTATTTGAACTCTGAACTAATTTCTCTGTACTTTAAATATTATGTCTTACAGCCGCCAGGGAAAGGTAAAAATTGATACCTGCAATGAATGGGAGTCAATAAAAGGAAATGCAGGTGGCCTAGTTTATCTTGAGCTTGTGTAGGTGAATGACAGGCAATGATGCTTGAACTGTGGTGGGCTTTGACAATCTAGCAAGAGAGTCTGGGTTTATTTAGTAATGGCAGTGGAAGAGCAAAAGGATTTTTGAGCAAAAAAAATGGGATGATAAAAGAAAAGCTTTGATAGTTTTGGAAATGATGTGGAATGACTACTATTTTCTAGCCTGGCTCTCTGAGCTTATGAGGGCAAGATTTCTGTCTCTCTTGTTCATCTTTATATTCCCAGCATCTAGCACAGTCCTGGCACAGAAGAAGCACTTAAAATAGTTGAATGAATGGGTGGATGAGTGGACGAATGGATGAATGAGTGAATGAAAAGCAAATAGTAATTACTATTCATATGATTGATTGCTTCTTCATTGCCTAAAATAAAATAATGCTCGACTCAGTGAACACTTAGGAAAATGAGCAAGTGAAAACTCAGCTAAAATAGGCTGCTTTGTAAGTTGTGACCATAAACCATACTAGCCAGACATAGGAAAGACAGGAAGATCTTATCTAAATATTTGCAATAGAACCAAGTCTACCATTGTTTGTATCACTAGCATCCTATGAACAGTCACCTGACTCATGGGATGGGCATTAAGACTGGAATGATTGGAGTTTATATAATTTTTGGAAACGAGCAAGCACTGGTTCTAAATAACTGCCCAGGCTTACATAGAATCAAAATACAATCTTTTCTAGGAGAAAGTATACCTGTTACAAAGGCACCATTGCCCCAAATGGAGAACACCAGGCCTTGGAAATCTCACAGCTTGGAGGATTATCGGAAGCATGTCCTTTTCTGTGGAACGGAAGTTATTCAGGTCAAGCCCTCTGGGAAGGGCCCTGTACGAGCAGTCGTTTTGCAGACTGGTTAGTAGAGTCCACTTTTATAAACTTAGTTCATGCTTGGGTGTGGGGAAAGTTGGATTAGGGAAATTTTATTTAGAATTATGGTGTTTGCCACATTCTGATAATAACAGCCACACATTTTTTTTCCCCAATTGGACTTTTATTATTTTAAATCGTCACAATTTTTGACTGAATAGTTCATCGTTAAAACCATTATATGTGATAAAGGGTATGTACGGATGAAGTAAAATTCCTCAAAGGCAAGCTATGCTCTTATTTTTGCTTGTGATTATAAGCTTGTTCTCTTTTCCCTTGACACCCCTTCTGAGTGATTACCAAAAAAAAATTTCAACCACTATGACTATGAGGACTTTTTCCTTTCAAAGAGTCATTTTCTAGGCTGTATTTCAAACTCTCTGCTGGATACCTGGGTGCCCTACAGACACTTCAATGTCAACACATCTAAAAGTGAACCCGTCCCCCAGTATTGCCTTCCTCTGTTAACAGCATCACATCTAGCAAGTCTCTTAATATCATCTTTAACTCCTCTTTTATTTTCCCATGTCAAATGGGACACCAAATCCTGACATTTCTACAAATACCTCCTGAGTCTTAATCATTACAAAGGCCTTCCATGACCTGGTCTTAGCTCTCTGTGTGTGTTTCTGACACCCCATCTATTCACAAATGCAAAACACACAATAGTTTCATATGGTGATATCACTATGCTTTAGTTTGGGCTATGATTTGATTGTTCTGGCTGATTTTTAAAATTAAAAATAGCTAGTTTTAGAGTTGGAGTCTCACTCTGTTGCCCAGACTGGAGTGCAGTGGCCGCTCTCGGTCACCACAACCTTGACCTGCTGGGCTCCGGCGATCCTTCCGCCTCAGCCTTCCAAGTAGCTGGAACTACAGGTGCGTGCTACCACACCCAGCTAGTTTTTGATTTATTGTAGAGATGAGGTCTCACCAAGTTGCCCAGGCGGGTCTCGAACCCCCGAGCTCAGGCAATCCACTCACCTCAGCCTCCAAAGGCACAGGATTACAGGCTGAGCCATTGAGCCCGGCTGAAAATAGTAAGTTTTTAAATGTTCAACTAGTTAGTGGGCATTAGGGAATCCCTTAGCCTGCTGCCTAAGTAGAAGCTAATGGTTAGAGATCATAGAAACCACCTGAATCCTCAAAAAATGCTTAGGAAGCAGGTTAGAGAAAACTCTATTCCTTTTACCCAAGGGTAATAAGCCCATATTTGAGGAGACCAGATGTCCATCAAGCACTGGGGATAAAGCATGTTTCATACTCACAGTAGTGAGTATGGAGTCAACTGCACTCCATTAGCTTCATATCTAGAATATGTAGTAGTCAATAGTTTTAGCCAATAATTTAGATAATAATGAGTACTACACGCTATACATTGAAAATTAAATTTAAAAATTATGCGATATACTTATCCTTTAAAGAAGGTTACGGTCTGGTGCAAGAGACAGGTGAATCTACAGCTAACTAAAACGTAAAGTGGTGATATATGTCACATGACCAAGTGTTACAGGGACTGCAAAGAGAGAAATTATTTTTGGTATGAAATATCGAAGTAGAATTCTGGAAACACTGATTTGATGAGGTGACTTTTGAACCAAGCTGGATAGGATGTGGAGAGCTTAGCCAATCATGTCAGAGCTAGAAGGACATGCCAATTTGTGTCTACAAAACACAAAGGAAGGAATGTACAGGGACTTTCTGGGACCAGTGGACAGTTAAGAAATTAGTCCAGTAAGGTAGGAGTAGATCAAATTGAAGGGGATGTTGAATGCCATGTCTAAAAATTTGAGCTTTATTTTGAGAAAGTGGGGACTCTGAAAGGTTTTTAAGCACAAGAATGACATGATTAAAGGTCTATACATATATATTTTTAAGGAATTTCTTGCCTTGTGCTTTCCTTTCTTCTTAATTTTCACTTAATATTTCAACATCTGTCTGAGTTTTAATGTTTTCTCTCAGCATCATATTGTCACTGCACTCTTCAGCTTCTTAGTCCTCTTTTTCTTAATCTCATGAGTAAATGGGAGTGGCACTGTGAGAGCCCCTGAAGCACTGACTCCCAGAGCAAGAGAAATTAACCAGAGCTAAGTGAACGCCATGGATTGCTCTTGGCAACTGGTAACAACAATGAATGCAAATACACTGTTAGGTTAGAGCAATGCTGTTTTCACTCCATATTCAAATAACTCCCCTCATGGATCCTTACTTCAATTCAAATCACTTTGGTTTTGGGAGAAAATGTATTAAAGGATCTTACTCCATGTGTGATTATCTCCATGTAGGTTACAACACAGCCAAAGGGGACTTAGTGAGATCCATCCTCTACCCCCGGCCTCTGAACTTCAAACTATACAGCGATGCCTTCAAGTTCATGGTGTTCCTGGCTTGCCTTGGTGTCGTGGGTTTTTTCTATGCCCTAGGGGTATATATGTACCACAGAGTAAGTACAGAGGGTAAGGCTTTTCAATAGTACAGCTTTCTCGAAGAGCTTGACCTAACTCAGGAGAGTTGGATAAGGTTATCCACTTGATCCCATCATTCTATGACTCAATGCTGTCCAAAAGAGCTCTCTTAGATGGTAGAAATATTCTGTATCTACACTGTCTAATATGATACCGTCCTTATGTGCTTACTGAGCACTTGAAGTGTGACCAAGAAAATGAATTTTCAATTTTATTTTATTTTAATTAGTTTAAGTTTAAACGGCCACTGTAACTCCAGTTATGTTGGATAGTGCAACTATGAAAAGATGCAAAGTTCATTGGCTGTTTTCATCACTTGGATGGGAACAAGGGTGTTCTGCAAGTGGCTTTTGTGATACCCAAGCCCAAATAGCCTCAGGGAAAAAAATACATGCTTCTCAAGCATGATAGGATGGGGAGGAGTTAGTCAATTGGATCAGAGAGCAAGAATGGCTAATCTGAGTGAGCAAAACACAAAGAAGGAAAGGCACAGGGGTCTTATGGAATAAGCAAGTAATTAAGAGATGTCTAGCAAAGTAGGAGTACATCAGATTGAAGGGAACCTGGAATGCCATGCCTAGTTTGCCTCTAGGTAACACCTAAAGCGTTACGCATTCATTGGGTTGCCCATGTACCCTGGCTGGGGTCTGAAATGAAATTAAATTTCTACTTTTACGAAACAGGTTCTGCCTAGGATCCCCACTTCTCTTTAAGTAAGCTGCAGAGTATCTGCTTTCATCTGGATGCTTTTCTTCATAGTCCTGTGACTGAGAAGGGAAATGTCATCACTAATGACTTCTGAGGTCCTTTCTGGTCTCCAGAATCTGATTCTGTTGTGAATCATTCAGTCTCTATATAAGCATGCCGGATCTCAATATTGTGCCCTGTTAGGGGGGAAATTAAATTTGGACTAAAACATCCAAACATAGGTGAGAATGTCCTAATTACAGTGTCCAAACTGGTAGCCTTAGTGTGTTTGTGTAGGGGGAGCGGCAGGGAGGGAGGGAAGGAGAAAAAGGAGAGACAGCAAATATTGGTGGGGAAAAATATAGTCACAGAATTTCTAGGCAATGGTCATGCCAAAACATAACTTCTAAATAGTTATTTAGATCTGAAATAAGTCCCCCAGGGAACATTTCTAGGTCAAGGGAGGGCAGAGGAAGCCAGCACATTTTGTAACTAGTGGGATGAAGTCTGTGAATAGCCAGGCAGAATGTCAAGGTCATTGAGGCTGGGATTTGAGGAAGAGGGCTAGTTTCATCTGGGGAGCAGGAGCATTGAGCAGAAATGCAATAAAAAAGCCCATGGAAGCTCTGGCAGTGATTGGGAATAAAGATTTCTTGGGAAGAACTCAGCATTCAGTACACACTAAAACACCAAGATGAATCTCAGAATCCATCTTCTTGTGGGTCAGAACCTGTGGCTCTGTTGGCTGTCTCTACCTGCACTGGTTCAGGATTAGACAAGGCTGAGTCCTCAGGGTCAGCACTAAGTTGTGTCTGTGGTTGGGAGAAGCGGGAATAATGGGTTTCGTTGTAAACTGAGATTGAGCAAAAGATAGCCTCAGTAGCCATTGTTAGTGAACTTGAATTCCATGTTTTTAATACTCAAAAGAAGACTTTTGAGTATTAAAAACAAGACTAATTTCACAAAACATAGGTAAGGTTGTAGAGGGTGGAAGCATTAATATCTAGGTCATGTGAAAAATAGAACAGGCAATTCTGTGATTTGATATTGTCCCTGATCTCAACTGTGTGAGCCTCCTATGCCTTCCTGTCAGAGATCCTGACTCCATAAGAATTGACTTCATCTTATAACATACCAGTCATGTGTGTATACCTTGGAGCCAGGAAGGCTAGAGTTTAAAGCCTCATCATTTACCCAGCATGTAACCTTTGGAAATTTATTTAATTTTCTAAGCCCTGGTCTCTTTACCTGTTGAATGGAGGAAATGGCAGTATTTATATCATTAGGTTGCTGTAAAGAGTAATTAGATAATGCATGTAGCCTGACACAGTGCCTGCTCCAGAGTGAGTATCCAATGAGAATAAGCTAATTTTATATGAGCTTCTCTGAAGCTAATAATATATGCTGAGATCTTGACAGAATCTTGGTCCTAGTTTTTTCAGGTAGTCATTCATTCAGTCTGTGTATTGAGCAACTCTTCTGTGCCAGATCCCATGCCAGGGTCTGTATCTAAAGATGAATAAAGGATTCAAAGATGACTTCAAAGATGAATGAGTCACAGCTGCACCCAAAGAGTTTGTAGGCTAGTGGGGGAGAGAGATTTATACATTAACAGTCAAGCCTCTAAGTGAAATGTTATGACCCAAGACTTGTCCCAGTGCCCTGGGAGCTCAGAAATTGCCTGGAAATAGATGGGTGCTGGGGTGGAACGAGTGCTGAGTGGAGGTAAACGGAATCATGAAAATGCACAGTGGACTGACTGGAATTCAAAGGTCTCTACTCTGCAGAGGAAGACAATGTGTCCTGCTGGAGGCCAGCTCCTGCAGACTAGGGTTTTCTGTAGGAGGAACGGAGTCGGCGAAAGAGAAAAATCTTGGACCCCTGACTCTGGTGTTAGCAGAACAGATGCTGTTTATTGTCAGTTAACAGTGAGCTTTTATCTTATTCATACAAGGAAAAGGACAAAGAAAATTCTTACAACAAGAGTAACCAGTAACTTAATCAATAACCTTGTTGTAGCCAGTAACTTAATCAATAAACTTGACTGAGATAAAAAGCAGAACAAGCAGCTCATGCATGGTGTTCTTCAAGGAGCCACTCTGACGTGTTTTTCATGGATAGATGTATTTTCAAGAGTGTCACTGTCTTGTGATTTTTAAAGCACATGATAAGTTTTAAAAGAATGTTATACACTAGAGATGTTAGTATCCTCAGTCTACAAAACTTAATCTAATTATGTCTAGAAAAGTTTCATTCATCTAATTTACTCTAACTTAAACTGTAAAAACAAGTTTATAAATCATTCCTACAATGATTACCACAGTTTAAAGATTATTGAATAACATACACTCAAATTAAGCTTAAGCCACTCTATAATGCTAAATCTGTATAGCAAAACTAACATAATATAGAAATGCTTATTTTTTTTATGTTAGAGGCTTAAATAAGTATGGTTAATGAGTTGTAACTATATCCTAACACACAAGCCACAATACAAATCATAGTAACTGGGGCAAAATAACATTCTGGGAACTAATTAATTGTTAATCAAAAAGTGACTCTACCAAGCCATTATCTATTCACACCTGATGTTTAAGGTTTTGCTCATGACTCTGGCGAGATTAAGGAGTTTTCTATAGGCATCAGAAAGAGCACTCCCTGTTCTCATAGTGAGTTTTTCAGCCATAACACTAGATAAAGCGACAATGAGTGCTAGCACTAGGAGGTCAGTGGCATAGCCAGGTAGGGGAATGATAGAAACAACCTTTTCTCATAAAATACTCATTGGCTTCTATGTATGGGGCAATGGATAATGTGAGTTGGAGTTGTTTTTTGCCTTCAGACTGTACAGAATTTTCCAGTTGCATTAATAATAAAAATAGAAGAAGTAAGGGTTTTAGCTGCCCAGGCTCGCTTTGCAACCTGGGGTCTTCAGCCCCCTGGACTTTGTCAGCAGGCAGGCCTCCATGGCTGGCTCCCAACAGTGTCCGTTTCTTAGTCACAGTCAAGGGAACACTCAGTCCGATAAAGAACTGGCTCACAGAATATTCTGATCTGAGGTCTCCAGGGCTCCTGTGGTATTGCAGGAAGAAGGTGCCAGGAAGGATGCTGGCCTGCTGTGCTGAGTTAACCTGTGTGTATGTCCTCCCCTTCTAGGTCCCTTCACGAGACACTGTGACCATGGCCCTGTTGCTCCTCACCACGACTGTCCCTCCTGTGCTGCCAGCTGCCCTGACCATAGGCATTGTGTATGCTCAGAAGAGACTGAAGAGGAAGAAAATCTTCTGTATCTCCCCACAGAGAATCAATATGTGTGGGCAGTTAAACCTCGTGTGCTTTGACAAAGTATGGTCCAAACTTTTCAAGTTTAAAATTAATGATTTCAAAGAGCAGTAGAGCTGTGAAGGGCCTCAGAGGACATCTAGTCCCAGTGTCCCCATTTTACAGATGGGAGTACTGAGGCCAGAGGAGGTCACATAGTGAGCTAGTGTGAGATCCTATTCTAAAAGCTTACTCCTCTGACTCCCAAGGGTCATCATGAATTTTTCCCTGTGGAACCTAGCATTAGCTTTTGTGCCTGTTTTGTGTTTTAAAACAATCTTTTACTACAGTAACTTCTATGACTGAATGGATTTTTCGGGCAGAAAACTCAAGGAACATTTCCATTCCCTGAAATGCTTTGCTCAGAGCCTAAGTGAATATATTTCTCTCCCCTTCTTGGCTTCTTTTAAGGAAAGGAAGGGAGTAAGCAATGAGTTATGTTTATGCACTCCTGCCCCTTTGTTCCCCCAGAGATCAAGGCTTCAGGGTAGGTTTCCAGGGTTAGGGGCCTGGAAAGGTGGCAGCTGAGGAGTATGTGCCAGATGGAGAGGAAAGCTGCTATGGGTTTTCCTATAAGGTGGGGAACTTCCACATCAGCTACCTGCAGTTCAGATCCCACCCTCAACTTGGATGGGTCAGCTTAGTTGCTATAATGCAGCTCCTCCCTGTCTTCAGTTCATGTGCATTTGAATAATTGATTATGCCTGTTGCTGGGTTTTTGGGGGGTTTTTTGGCAGAGAGTCAATGCCGTGCACAGTACTGTAGAGAGTTCCATTGATGAACTGTTCATAGCCCTCGAGAGGCTCACCGTCTAGCAGAGGAAGCAGGGAAGACAAGAGTGTAGACGAGGGTCACGCTGTGAGATGTGTGCATAATAGAGGTATGAGCAGAGCCTGGGCACTGTTACCTGCCACTGGTGGAAGGTCACCTTTGAGCTATAGCCTTGGTCTTTAGGCAGAATAAGCCCCAGGCTCAGAGGTAAGCAATTCCGTAGCACAGGAGTACAAGAGGCTTGCTGCATGTAGGGAGCAGAGCACAGTAGAGTGTGACTGGAATGTGGGCTGGTAGGTAGAGAACAATGCTGAGAGTGGGGGAGGTGTGGCAATTGTTAAGGCCTCATATGAAAAGTTAAGGAGTAAGATCTTATCTTGAATGAGAATGGAAGCTCTTATTTTTTAAGATTAGTGACATTTTTATAGTGTTTTTTGGAGAGAAGGGATGGGAGATAGGATTGAAGAAGGGGGCTACCTGGGGGCAGTTGAAGAGATCATTCATTGTCCTAGACAAGGAAGGTAAAAATAGAGAGTAGAGGACAAACTGGAGAGAAACCCATGAGTAGACTTGACCAGTCTTGGTCCCAGTTGAAAGTGGCATTACCTCTAAGATTATTTTTGCCTCTTTGTGTTTTGTCTGGCAAAGAAAGTTCTCAGTTGCTACCAGTCAGAAACCAGTAGGGTTACCTTAAACAATAGCTTCATTTTAAATTCAGGGCTGGATCACAACCTCTTGGAAGTTCTCTGATAAGAAGTCCTATTACTTACCCAGTAGCCTCATTGTGTCTAGAATATAGGAGGAAGACTTATGAAATATGTTCATTACATATTCATCTGTTTCTAAAATTAATTTTTTTTCAGAGACTGTTCATTTTATGTCCTGTATAAAACTTCTTCCTCCGCACCCTCATGTCCCCATCTGTTAGATTATTTGAGGGATGACTCCCAGGTATCCGAGGTCAAACTCTGTATGGCATGACATGTTATCATGTGAATAAGACTTGGTTGAAAATTGCCAGAATGAACCTAACCCTTAACTGTACCCCACAAAACCATAATAAAAAATATTGAATATGAAAAAAAAAGAAAAAAAGAAAATTGACAGAATGAGAACTCTATCTCTGAATTTGGCACTAAGTTTCTATTATATGACTTTTTGAGATAAGAAGATTGAAGCACAATCATCTCCAAGTTTTTTTTTTTCCAGTTTTCACATTATAAAACTCTATCAACATGATGCTGAAATAAAGCACTCCACAATTAATTAAATTTTCATCTAGTGTTATTTTTAGTTTAGAAGATATCGCTGGGCTTCTGTGTATATAAATATATTTCTATTTTATGTTGGTTTGTTATAACTTCTCTAAGACAAGCTCTTTCTTTCTTTTTGTTAAATTCAGCCCAAGTCTGGGCTTGTATTTATGTTGAGGTTTTCTTTTTCTATTTTATTCCCTTTAGAATCTCAGCTATAATTTAGTTTTCTTTCTATTTATGGTTAGTTTTATTGTATAAGGGTCATTTTCACAGAGAAATAACATGGTCCCATTTCTGTTTTGCTGTAGTATCATTTCTGTTTTCATGTTCAAAATATTGATGTTTAAAAGCATAATCTAGTCATCAGGAAAACATTTCAGTTTGAATTAAGTTCTAACTCTTTGAAAGGCAGCAACTCGAAAGGATTTGGGAACTAAACATGGTTGGGGCCCTTATAAAATGCAGGAGGAAGATGAAGCAAATAGTTCTTTTTCAAAAAGTTGTTGTTCAAGGAATAACTCAAAAGGCGTTTAGCTCTTTCTTCAGAAGTCTGGATAAATTAATGAAACAAATATGCCTTCATTTTTAAATCCAGAAACCCAGAATGGGACTTGTCTTTCCACATGCCCTGTAGAATTTATTTAACATTCTCGAGTCTGGTGGAAGACTCCAGAAAGGCTGGGTTCTGTGTCTCTCCAACCATTAGGCCACAGTAAGCTTAGACTTCCCATTTCACTTCTAACTGCCTCCACCTCGTTTACTCAGTCATAAAAATGAACAGTGTTGCAAGCACCCCACTGTAAAACATGATGTTAATCAGATATAATGTAATGATAAATGGTGCCATTTGATGAAAATCTAGAAAGTTTAGTGTCCTCTATAGAGATGACCTTAAAATATAGTGTCAGAGACTTGGGTGTTGGAGTTGATACAGGATATTCTGCCTTGCTGGGTTATGTTCCTCTGATCCAGCACTGCTGTAGCCACTGTAGCCAATGCCATGTATGCGGGAGTTAAGCAGGCCTAACGTGGTTAGCCTCCTGCATCAAGATACCGTCATTAATGAATAACTGTGAAGCAATGAGGAAATTAAAAGTGCTGTGATAGTGCTCAGTTCCATTTTGCTTTCTCTGTTACATTATCTGACACATACTCTCTCATAATACAGCAAATCAAATCTCCTGGCCATTTCTCCCTCGATCTAACAATAAAACCCATTTATGGGCTTTAATTAATATTTATTAGCACTTAAATTTCTTTCTAGAGTCTCAAAGCCCTTTATCAACAATTCATTATCAATCTGGACAGTCACTATGTCACCCATATTTTTAGAAAATTACTGTGAACCAGATGGCAAACTGTGAACTAAACAGTCTTGAAAAGAAAGCAAAGAAATTCTGAACTCTGCTTTGGAAAGACAGCAGGTGTCAACTAAAAAGTCATACTTGAACTGATTCTTGTTCTGAATCTTTCCTGTTTTCCAATAGCAACAGTCACATCAATAAACCAACAAAACCAAAACACAACACTTGTATTTTGTGGTCATAGGAACTAGAATCAACTGATTTGTCAACATGGTCTTTTAGGGATCATGCAACACTTGTTCAATATTTCTTTTAGATAAACTCTTCTCTGATTTAAAATTTGATACTTATAAACAGGGAATTGGGATAAATGAATCTACAATAATTTTTTTGGAACCTTGAGTCTTGTTTAAATTATAATATAGTTAAAATCTTTAAGTTTTATGCTAATACCAATTCTGATTTTTATTCATTTAGACTGGCACTCTTACTGAAGATGGGCTGGACCTCTGGGGGACAGTCCCTACTACTGACAACTGGTAAGTCTGTTAAGTGAAGATGGAATGTGTGATTGGTGGAGTTACTTTGGTCATACTCAAATCTTTCCCTTGATTGTGTTGAGGGATGAATGCCCAATGAAATATATATGATAATTGACTGGAACCAATTCCCAATTATTCTAACATTGTTTAGTTAAATGATTCTAAGTTTAAAATCAGGGAAAGCAGGTCTTCAAAATCTACATAAAATAATAGAATAGAATGAGATGGATAATTAAGGAATCGGATGACTAAAATGGAAAAAAGAGTGACATCAAGACCATGCTTAATTAAAAACTGCAAAGACTTCCTATGTGGCTGGCACAGGTGTGGCAGAGGATCCAGAAAAGAAATTCACAGTTTAGAAGGATAAAAAGGTGCAAATACACCCACCTTCAACATGCAATGTAGGGCATGAAAACTGTTACTATTAAGGCAGAAATGTCAGAACGGAGAATAAGAAGCAATAAAGAGTGCTTGATAAAACACACAGTCTTGATTTTCATATACTAACATAGTTGGTAAAGATAGAAATTAATTTTGAATTTTAGTGGGTCAAGGAACACCGTCTGAAAGAGATGGCACTTGTAATGGGTTTTGAGGGATGTGTGGCTAGAATTTTTAGAGATGTTGGCTAAAGCTGGTGCTAGGGAGAAGAGAGGACAATCTCTAGAGAGATGGAAAAAGGAGAGATTCTCCCACTGTCTCCAAGGAGACTCCCTGCAACTCCTAACTTCTTCCCCTCAGGGCTAAGACCTACTTTCGTAGTCTGAGTGGTGATAGTTTCTACTGCTAAGCTCTGGGGACTCCATTTTGGCTCAAACAATGGCTGAGGCTGCTATCAGTGAGATTAGGAGTTAGTTATTCATGGCTCCCCAAGATAGCAATGGGGTCAGGTGCAGCACAGGTACAAACTAACAGCAGACAAAAGCAGTGTGGTGTTGCAGAAGATACCCTGGGCTAGGTGTCAAGGAACTACTTGGGCTCTAACCCTACCCATGTGTCTCTGCTCCTGCTTGCTCAAATGTCCCAGCCAGGCCTCTGTGCAGACAAGCAGGGACTCTTGGCCAGAGCAGTTAAAGGAAAAAAGGATGTGTCCACGGGTTTCCACCCTTCCATCTTCCTCTCTTGCTCCTAGGACTCTGAAGTTTTGAGGGAGTAGAAACAACTAGCCACAATGGCTTTTCAGCTGTAAGGTGAGAAGAGGAAGGTAAACTATGCCAATCTGTACTATGAACAAGGACATCAGGCTTCAGTGGCAGGATACCCAGGGAGTTACAGGCAATGGGGCCTCAAAAGGACTGAGTAGTGAGAAAGGCTTCAGTGCCCATACATAATTTTATTTGTCCGAAGTCACTAGGCAGGCTTCTTTCCTATCCCTGCTATCTAATTAGCCCTAGAGACTTATTGCCTAGGGTGTGTGGCTTTCAGGGCCAGTTCTGTGGAGTTTGCAGATGTAACTCTTAGTTGCCTGTTCATGTGTCTTCCCACAATACTACCATTATGTGGGCTGGTTGCAAGGAACATGAAACAAGTCCCTGGGATTATATCTAAAGTCTCTGATATTTTATAATTGATTGATCAGTGACAAACTCCACTGAGATGGAAATTCAACAACCAACTCAAAGAAAGGTTTTATAAAAATTACTCTGTAGGCAAATCACTTTGACTAAAAAAATAAACAAACCAAGTGGGCAGGAGCTCAAGGGCAGGAAAATCCCTGGAAAAGTATAAAAACAGCAAGAAATTTAATCTGGCTCTAAGGTCCAGGGCATACAGAACGTTAGTAGGAGTAGACACTGTAAGGTAAGGTAGATCTGAAGTTGATTGGACCTAGAATACCAGGCTAGCATGAGAGGCTATGGACAGGTTTGGAGCATAGACTCTAGTAAGATTTAAGGAACAGAGTGCGCAAAATGATTTTATTGAAGACTAACATATTATCTTCTCTACTAGCTTCCAGGAAGCCCACAGCTTTGCCTCGGGCCAAGCTTTGCCTTGGGGGCCATTGTGTGCAGCCATGGCCAGTTGTCACTCTCTGATTCTTCTCGATGGGTCTATCCAGGGAGACCCTCTGGACCTCAAAATGTTTGAGGGCACTGCGTGGGTAAGGTGATAGCTTGTTTAATCGAATGAGGAGAACTTAAAGAAATTCTTACAGGAAATACTGAAGTTTTTCTAATTTTGATGAAAACCCAGAGAAGAGTCATAATAATATATAAATGAATGTGTGATGCTACCAGAAATTTCCCAACCTTTACTCCAAAGAACTCAAGGAGCACAACATGAAATAAACTTCCTTGGTCTAATAAACTTAGAAACTGCTGTTTAAACAAAGTGAAATTTATTTACAACATGACATGTTCTCCAAAACACCAGTGTTCTTCAACACTCTCCCAGAGAAACTGTAGTTTAAAGCTGTGTTGTCCAATGCAGTAGCCAATAACCATATATGATTATACGACAAAGAAACTGAATTTTTAATTTTACTTAATTTTAAGCAATTAAAGTTATGCAAGTGACTGGTAGCTACTATATTATATAACATAAGTCTAAACACCAAACTGGAGGGCCCTTATTCCGAATGGGTCTATTTTCTCAGCTGAGTGTGAATGAAAATGGAAGGGTATATAAGCCTGTCCTGGAGATTGCCATGACATAGTGGGAAGACCTCTGCACTCCAGCACTCTCCACCTGTGTGGTCACAAGCCAGAATCAAAACTCTGGGTTTGTGATCTCTCTGTACGTTTGGGATAATAATACCTCAGTCACAGACTTGTGGTGAGCATTGAGACTATGAGCCTGAGGGAGCTTTGAGCACTGGGAGGTGCCACACAGGTAGAGGGGATTCAATAATTAACTAGTTAATTAACTACATTCTGCTGCCCTCCAAAGAACGTTCTAAAGCTACTTACATAAAATACAGGACAGTAGTCAAACAGAATTGTAGAAGAATGGAAACAAATGATTGCAGAGGAATGAAGGACGCCTTAGGGAGAGGCTGATATAAGGATGTATAATGGGAAAATTTTAGCTTTCTAGAGGCCAAATCAATAAAGGGGAAACCTGGCAAAAAGGGAAATTTTAAAATGATAGCATCTGCCTTGGAAAAAATGTTGATGCAAGACAAAACAGTAATTAGTTCTCTGATCTTAATGGAGAGGAATGAGTGTGCTTATTTTATTTATTTATTTGTTTATTTACTATATTTTCTCTTAAAGATACGAGGTACAAGTCAGGAATGACACAATGCTGAGCTGCACATGGCCATTTTATGTGACTTTGATCCTGGTCCAAAATGTGTTGCCTTCTCCATCAGAGGGGAGATGATCTGTCTTTACAAATAACATACAAATTGTGGTCTTGTTTGGAAACATAAAACTTTAGTGTTAGTCTTGTAAGAACTGTCTGTCAGCAAAAATAGTTGTATCCATTCCAAACAAAGCATTAAAATGTAAGATTATTCCCTGAGTTTAAACCTGGATCAGAAGCAGTCTAAAGTTAAATGCCGTTTGGTAACCCGGAAATTTCCAGGAAACATAAGGGAGGAAAAATGTCCTTTTGACTCTTAAGAACTTTTTCTCCTATTATCTTTCCCATATTTTCATATTGGTTTATCAAAGGTATTAATTTCTACTGTCATAACATCCAAAGAATACGAGCCATTTTCAAATGTGCTTTCTAGTACATTTTTGCTAGCAGGCAACAGGCTAGCTCTCTAATTAACTCAATTAGTCCAGTAGCATAGATATAGCATGAAGAAGTAGTTCTAGGTTTATCTTGGGACTCAATCCTAACTTATCTGAGTACTCTAATGCTCAGCAATGTTGGAGAGTAGGTCTCCATATAATCTCTGTTCCAGTTACTAGGTATGACCTTTTAGGAAGATCCATTGACCTGTAACCAGCACTTCTTCCATCAATTACTTCATAAAATATATTCACAATATTTCTGACTTGACATTCTACAATAAAGTCCTTAATATGAATCAACACAACAGAAGTTTGACAATGTCAGTTTTAAGATAATTGCCCTGGAAGAGAAAATATATGAAAAGGTCTTTGAAAAGATTAAAGTGTTGTACAAATGAGATCTTTCTTTTTTAATATTTTACTTCAAAGAATCTTATGAATGTTTTTATTTTATAACAGAAAATGGAAGATTGCAATATAGACTCCTGCAAATTTGGGATATCAGAATCAAGTACAATAAAGCCAGGACCAAAAGCCTGTAAGGTATGATTTTCTTCTTTAAATCATATAGCTCTTTCTCCTTACCTGTTGAAACTTTCTTGACTTCACCTATTTTATAGCTCTAATCTTTTGTCTTATTTTAGCAGTTTCCATAGTTGGTTTGCTCATTTTTCATTCCTGAACTCATCTATTAATCTATTTAACAAACATTCACTGAGTACTTGTGTATGCTAGAATCATCTGTGCTAGGTGCTAGCAGATAAACAGGTTTCAAAACTAGACACACTAGGCTCTGTGTTGGAAGAACACATAGATTGGTAGAAAAATGAGTATAGATGCACATAAATGCAATAAAAAGGTGCCAAATAGTGTAATAAAGGTTACACATAGAGTTTTGGGAGTCCAGAAGTGGGAGGGAATACTGTTTCTGGGAGAGAGAAGCACCAGAAAGGAGGCTTCCTGTGAACTCTTTGGACTGGAAGATTATTAGAATTTTTCCATATGGCCAAGGGGAAGAGTCTTGCAGACCAGACAACTTGCTGAGGGAATGACTTAGGGTAGCCAAAAAAGAAAAAAAAAAAATCAATGTTGTGACAAATGTACTACTTCATGATGCTGCCGGACTCATTGCAGAGTAAGCCCTTTGTGTTGACTGCATGTGCTAGATATCACCTAACATCTTTTTAAGCTCCCTTTTGCTGATGCACTTACAGAGTCCCGTGGAGGCCATCACCATCTTGCGCCAGTTTCCATTTTCCTCAAGCCTGCAGAGGATGTCTGTGATCACTCAGCTGGCCGGGGAGGATCACATCCATGTCTACATGAAAGGTGCCCCGGAGATGGTGATCAAGTTCTGCAGATCTGAAACAGGTACTAACAGATTCTCTTCTCTTTCAAGAGGTAAACTATTTTAAAAGACAAAACACACAAAGCAAACAAACACATAAAGCACCACTATCAGTGAATGTGGAACCGGTCTTTTTCTGGGTGGTAGAGAGTGGGTTGTATAAGGTAGGGGTGATTATTTTAGGGCAGGGAGCCAGAGAGTAACTATCTGGCTATGGTCCAGGCAGAAAAGTAGAACCACCATGGAACATCTTGTAAGAAGTAACACATGTATCAGAAGCTGAAATAGGGAGTTACCCAGGAATCAGAGAACTAGGGAGGATGCAAATGAGGAGGATTCTGAGGGAGACAAAGGGAGAGGTCTAACTTGTAGACAAGTTCTACAGAGTTGCTCTGTCACCTCCAGGGGACTGGCTCCACTTATGGGGGCTCAGCTGACTGATGAAAGGAGAGTATAGACAAAATAAATCTCTTAGAAATAAAAGTGATTAGAGTAAATTAGATGGTATTAGAGCAAGGTAATTGATCATTTTCACAGCAATTTCATCTTTCTGAGCCAGATTTTGAGCTGATTTGTATTTTTTTTTAGTCTTATAAACATATGCACTCTCCAAGTCGCACCCAGATTTATAAGAATATTGTTGCATTCAAATGAGTTCATTTGGATAAAATTGGTCTTTTTTCTTCTGATTTTCATCTATATTCCCCTTATGATTGCTGATAGCCATCAACTTGTGCACAGAATTGTAGATTTGGCAAAATATTGCCTTAATGTCTTTATTTGGAGTCTTGTTTTTCTTTAGAAGTGTCCCCCTTTCTTCTGACTTTGATCTTCCTCATAGCTCCCATTAACTCTATCTTTCACTGATGACAGCACATATTGTGTTTTGTTTCATTTTGTTTCAGCTACACAGACACAAGTGACCATCTTTTTGACATTTAAACTGGTATCTAATGCTCCTGCTCTATTAGTAAGGCGCTGTGCCTATCATTTCCCATTGCTCATTTTTCTGGCAGCTTTTACAATTATTCCTATTGTCCCAATCTTCAATCTTGGACTTATGCTAGTACCATCTTCAGAGATTTTCTTACCGCAAATATTGAAGAAATGGAGAGCTAGAAGATTTCTTGAAATTAGATCCCCATCTCCAGGAATATTTTAGTATTACAGAAAGTCTGAGATGAATGGGACATAGAGATTTGCAACCCTCTTATTTTATGGATGAGAAATTGAGGTATGGAAGAGAGAATTAACATGGCCAAGGTCAAAGAGCTGGTTAAAAGTGGAGTGAAGACTAGAAGTTAGATGGTTTGCCACCTAAGGTACCACACCTCCCATGTACTGTGCTTTCTTCTAATACTCTTTTAGGCACACCGTAAACCATAAATATTTTATAAATATAAAAACATAGTTATGATTGCCATGCCAAAACAACATAAGTATTGACATTATGTCACGTATCAGCTGAAGCAGAATTGGCAAACTTTTCTGTAAAGAGTCAGATAGTATTTCTTTAAAGCTTTGCCAGCCACACAGTGTCTGTTTCAACTACACAACCCGGCTATTAAAGCCCTGAAGCAGCCATAGACAATAAACAAACAAATGGACATGGCTGTGTTTCAATAAAACTTTATTTTCAAAAACAAGCAGTTTTGGCCTGTGCAATATCATTTGTTGACCCCAATCTAGAAGATTAGCTGTTTCTCCTATTTAATCAGAGTACATATAGTCCTGAGGTCTGTTTTTACTGAACCCAGTAAGTGTATTTGACACTCAGTTTGTCTTAATCAACAAAATACCATAGACTAAATGGGTTAGACATTGGAAATTTATTTATCACAGTTGTAGAAGCTGGGAAATTCAAGGTCAAGGTGCTGGTCACTTCAGTTCCTGGTGAGGGCTTTCTTTCCAGTTTACAGATATCTGCCTTCTTACTGTATCTTCACATGGTGAAGAGAGAGATCATCGCCTATATATCTTCTTAAAGGCATTAATTCCATTTTCCAAAGCTCCATTCTCATGACCTAATTACCTCCTCAAGGTCCTACCTCCAAATACGATCACATTAGGAATTAGGCTTCAACATGTGAATTGGGGGGACACAAACATTCCATTTATAGCACAGTTGATTAGCAACAAATATCTGGCATTTATTTCCATCAGAATAATAAGAATTCACAGATGAAGTTGTTTGTGGTCTTTGGCTAAAGCTGTAAGTTTTCTATAAAGGCACTTTATATGGAGTGAGAGTCAAGACAAGGTACTATGACAGCATCCTGGAGTGTAGTTTAGGAGCTAGTTAGCCTTCATCATTTACATGCCTCTTCCCTCTTATACTTCACCTTATACATGCCTCTTCCCTCTCTCCTAACAGTGCCCAAGAATTTCCCACAGGAGCTGAAGAATTATACAGTGCAAGGCTTTCGTGTCATTGCCTTTGCCCATAAAGGCTTAAAGATTGAGAGGCTTTCAGAAGTGGAGCAACTAGCCAGGTAAAAAATTCAGAACTCAGCCCTAGGGATAACTCTGTGCAAGAAATGAATGAGCCCAGGAGATAAACAGATCAGCTCAAATTACCAGGACCCTTCTTGGAGATGGAGGATCAATCTTACCCAATCCCTGGATTCAGAGATGGGCAATTGTAGGCTAGACCAGGGAGGACTTGCTCAGGTCACAATGCTGCTGGGTGGCAGAACAAGAATGATTGAAATTTTCTGATTTCCTTGTGCCAGTACTTTATCTCTGCCCTGTCTTGTATCATGCTCACTTCGGTTCCAGCTCTCATCCCACCAAAAACAACCACTATCTTTTAACCTTAGAGCATTATGTGAATAACTGACTTGGGTGTCCCACCTATACGAGTGGTGGGGATGAAAGAAGACAGTTGGCACTTGAAAAGATTTTCAAAATCCTGTACTCATGGCTTAATTAAGGGCTCAATAATACACCCCCCTCATATGTGGGGAGGTAATGAGTGCAAATTGAATTCCTTGTAAGAAATAACATTTAGCATTCTTAATTATACAAAGGGGATAAAATGCTCATTAGAGGTTAATCTATAATTTTTTTTCTTTCAATGTTGTTTAGCTTTTAAAGGTTATTTGTAAGTTATCCATGACCAAGGAATAAAAATATACTGTGGAAAACTGAACAGCAGACAATCTATGTATTATGTTTGATTTGTGCTGCTGATAGAAAGATCCTCATTTATATACAATTAGCCCCTTCTTATAAGATACTGATATCCTTGGTTTAACAGTATTATTTGCAGCCTAAGTCCATTGATACTAAGATAACCATTGCCCCTTCCTTATTCTATGCTTGTTTCCCCATCTATAAAATGTAGGGTTGGATGATCTCTAAGGAGCCTTTCAGCCATGGTGTTTTAATCTTCAAAACAGAACCACAGAGCTCGTTTTGAAATATATGAATGGCAATCTCAGATTTAACATTCCAGGTGTTAGCTGTTTTTGAGCAAGCATAAAGGTGCATAACACATAGAATTTTGTAATTTTTCAAGCACAAATTTGAATAACGAATGTTATGGTCATGTGTGAACAAAAGATTTATGTAGCTAGCAATGAGTGTAGTTGTCACCCAGCTGCCATATACAAAAGCAGCTGTGTTGTTCTCATGTATGCGTCACTAGTGAGATAGACATTATTATAAATATAACAAAATAAGAAAATGAGCATAAAATGTGCTAAATTTCTAACCATTCCAGGTTTTCACAGGGAACATCAGGAACCTATTATACTTCTTAGAATTTAGTCACTGTTTTCAAACAGGGTAAAATGACCGGGTATTGATTTTCCTTAGAATCAAATTATATTTAGCAAAGTTCTCGAACAAGTGATATTTCTTAAAGATGTGAGGTACAATTCAAGATTAGGTACAGGTAAAGTTTGAGCCTCCCTTTGGTCATCATACAGGTTAAGTTTGAGCCTCCCTTTGGTCCCCACTTCACCTGGTTTGAGATCAGGTACCCTTATTGATGTTATGTGTTCCCCCCACCCCGGCAGTTTCCTGCTACTGCCAATCTGCCCCCCCCCTTTTTGAGTTGGAGTCTCACTCTGTTGCCCAGACTGGGAGTGCAGTGGCTGCTCCCGGCCACCGCAGCCTCGACCTGCTGGG